CAACAGATAAACTCTTCCCGAGAAACTGGTTGGCAGTTGAAGCTTAATAATAATAATAATAATAATAATAATAATAATAATAATAATAATAATAAATTATTATTACAGTGGATGTTCGGGTTGCAAATGTGATCCATGCAGGATGCACGTTTGCAACCCGCAGCATTCACAACCTGTGTCTGTGCATCTGTGCACACGCGGGTTGCGATTCAGCGCTTATACGCAAAGCGCAATTTAGCACTTCTGCGCATGCGTGACCGCCAAAACCCAGAAGTAACCCATTCCGGTACTTCCAGGTTTCGGCAGTCCGCAACCCGGAAAAACGCAACCTGAAGGGTCTGTAACCCGAGGTATGACCATATTATTATTATTATTATTATTATTAGCCACTCTGGGTGGCTTCCAACAGGAAGTTAAAAATACATTAAAACATCAGTCATTAAAAACTTCCCTAAACAGGGCTGCCTTCAGATGTCTTTTAAAAGTCAGATAGATGTTTATTTTCTTGACATCTGATGGGAGCGCATTCCACAGGGTGGGCACCACTACCGAGAAGGTCCTCTGCCTGGTTCCCTGTAACCTCGCTTCTCGTAGTGACGGAACTGCCAGAAGGCCCTCGGTGCTGGACCTCAGTGTCCGGGCAGAATGATGGGGGTGGAGACTCTCCTTCAGGTATACTGGACCGAGGCCGTTTAGGGCTTTAAAGGTCAGCACCAACACTTTGAATTGTGCTCGGAAATGTACTGGGAGCCAATGTAGGTCTTTCAAGGCTGGTGTTATGTGGTCTCGGCGGCCGCTCCAATCTAAGCTTTGTAAGAATGTGAGACAAATTCTACTGGATCGGACAAAAAGTCCAGCCTAGTCTAGCATCTGGTACCCACAGTGGCCAATCAGATGCCTTCAATAAGCACTGCAAGGAGTTACTGCCCTTGCGTGGGAGCTGGGCTAGGGGACATACTTTCAGAAGGTAAAATTGAAATCCTTTGGTTTTCCAAGAGCAGTGTATAATCATACACGGGTTTACAACGCTAAATGACATATTTCCGCAGGGCCTGCAAGACAGAGTTGTTCCACCAGGCCTTTGGTCAGGGCGCAGCCTGACTCCCTCCTCTGGCAACCTGCACAGAATTTTGCCTAATCGGTTGCCATCAATTTGATTTTAATTAATTTTTATAATGAAATATTTTTAGAATGTGTGATTATTTGACTGTTTGATTATTTGATTGTTGTTAGCCGCCCTGAGCCCGGCTTCGGCTGGGGAGGGCGGAATATAAATAAAATTTATTATTATTATTATTATATGTTGTCCAGTCTCAAAAACAATAGCAAATTTGAATTCCTCAAACCCGAAAACATATTTTGCACTGAAGCAATTTGCAAACATTTAAGTCGCACCCCCTGAAATGGCATGCCCTAATTCTGTAGTCTTCCGTCTTTTCGGGTCCAGGGCTTCTTGAAGTTGTGTGGCTTGGTTGTGCAGGTGTGAGAAAGGCGAGATGGGAAACTTCCAGTTAATGAGAAGAGATGGCTAGCAATGGCCTAGGGCCCTGGTGTTGCAGACCAAGAATCCTGTCCAGCCACGCCAGCACAAGGGATGTAATCAGGTGTCTTTTGAGAGACCTGTGTGGCTGGGAACTGCTTCTGGTCTTGCGTACGATGAGGCCTGCTGTGTTCACCTTTGAACCCAAGGGCTGTTGGAACTGCTCTGGTGTGCAAAACTGTTGCATGAAGCGTATCCAAGATGTCAAGATGTGCAAGCCCCTTGCAGTGTAGGAATAACAGAAGTCACTGCATCCCAATGTGCTCTACTGCGCTAGGCCCCTTCATTCCTTCTTTCCTATTTTCCAGACCCAAACTAGAGAATCCAGATGGAAAACTAGAATTCCGCCCCCCCCATTTTTTTTATTGCTTTTACAATTTTTTTTTAAACAAACATAAATCATTACCTTATTTAAACCAATCTTAGTATCATTGTTAAGTGACTTCCTCATATCCCCCTGGTTGAAGTTCAATGTATATATTTTTTAACGATTTCCCCAAACCAATACTCTCTTAAAATTAACTTAATCACTCAACCTCTTTATTTCCATCCAATTCTGCATTTAAACATATTAATTCATCACATTCCATATTTGAATCCTAAGCCTATCTGGTATTTGCAAGCTTTCCAATTTAAATTATCTGAACATATTTAGCTAAGTAGTCTTTAAATTTTCTTCGTTCCTCCTAACAGTCCTCCTTCTCCTGGTCACGGACTCTTCCAGTTAGGTCGGCTAGCTCCGAAAAGGAAAACTAGAATATTGACTACAGGGTGACTATGCACAAATAAGTAGGGCGGTTTTTTTTAACTTCGAAGGAAGCAATTTCCCACATAATCGCGTGAAGGACAATTTCGAAAGTAGTAATCCTACAGGAGGTTTCCTCCCGTCTCTTCCTATTTTCCTGTCTGGCAATTTCCTGACCCGCTTTGTTTTTGGACCCTGACCTTTCCTGTGCAGGAAGACCTACATTGTCCTTGCACTCTCATCAGGACCCTCCCATGGCTTCCTCTGTCTCCAACCCTGTGAGATAATCTCTTCCTTATGTACCCGCCGTCTGCCCTCTGTTTCATTGCTTTCTATCTCCTCCTCCTCCCCCCGCAGGGTTCTGGCGATACCACCGGGGGCTGCCGCTGCAAGCTGAACGGAGCCCCCTGCCACCCCAACTGTCAGAACTGCCATTAAACAAGAGGGGAGGAGAACTCTGAGCTTCTGGAAGAAGAGGCCGTCTCGCTTCAGGGGAATGGAAGTCAGGGGCGAACGTCAAGCTGAGCTCTGGGACAGCCTGGGCTTTTGGAATGGCTCTGGCACAGCGAAGGTCAAGACTCACAGGCTCAGCTCATGCGCCATAGAGAAGACGACTTGCTTCCCATACATGTGAGGGCTGGGCAAAAGGATTGAGTGGAAATGCTGGCCTCTTACTGGGTTCGAGGGCAGGCTGGACGTCTTATTGTAGTCCTCGTGCAGAAAGGCTTCTTGCAATGTCCGTGGAGAGATGCTGTTTTTGTTCCTTTCTCTACAACCAGTTTTTCCTGCCTCCCTCCCCTATGGCAGCATTACATTCTGCGTCCTTCCAAGGCTATAGGAGCAGAGGCTGTTCTTGCCAAGCTGCAGGTGCTTAGCTAAGCTCTGACCCCTATCACAGATGGGGCGGTGCCCTACGGTGCATTAGAACCAGGCTTGTCGGCACTGAGTTCCACTACAAAATACACTGGGTTTTGTGTACAATATTTACTTGATTTGCCCTAATAAAAGTTATTTATAAACCTGTTGCTGCGTTTTTTTTCTGCAGGTAGTTGAGCTGCAATAGTAACTTAACTTGTATTGCTCAGGGCCAGGTTAGTGAGGCTTTGTATTTGGGGTTTAGCAGTCCCGTGTTCCCAGATTCCTTCAGCCTAACTCAGTTCACAGACTTGATAAAAGCGTAAAATGGATTCTTATCATCCGTCCTGGGGGCGCAGAATTAAGGCAGGTGCAAAATTAAAAAAGAAGGCGGAAGGATTGATTTCAAACACAAAAGGTTTTCTTTTTGCTCCGGGTTTAGGGAATTGGAGCATTTCCTTTCTCTTTTGTTTGTTCCATAAAATAAGAAACTGCTAGGAGATAAGGTGTTAAAAGGCACCCACCAGTCAACCTTGTCTTGCATCTGCTGACTCGCACCTATGTAAGTGTTTGGTCTGGGGCAATTAAAAAACCTTTGACTGCAAACCTGGAAATAAAAACTGAAGTGCTATCAGCACTGTTCTAAAATACTGTAGCTATTTTTGAAAGACCACCTTTGTGTGGGCAGATGATCACATTCCAGATCTTTCTCTCCTGCCTTACCAGCTCTGAAGAACCTTTTGCTCGCTGCCCGGGCTTCCTCTTTAGCCTTGCTCAGCCTCCTCCCGGCTGGAGAGATTGCGCAAGGCTTTTCTAGAGGAGGGAGAAGGGACTGACTGACCACGTCAGTCCCTTCTCCCTCCTGGGGAAAAGTCTGCAAGAACCGCACAAAGCTTGTGTGTGGCTCTTGGGGGCTTTTCCTGCCTGCCTCCCCCCCCCCCTGCATTCGCTCCATAGGACGCACAGACTTTTCCCCTTAGTTTTTAGGACGGAAAAACTGCATCCTATGGTGCGAAAAATACGGTAATTCTGAAACATCATGTGAGTCAGACAAGCAATGGATCCCACTGACTGACGGTGGAGTATTTAAGGCATCTGACCGGCTGCTGCTAAGAAAGGGGTAGCAGACTTTTAAAAAAGCAGGGAGGGCTAATCCACGTAGGCCTGCCTCCAGGCAGAGATGGTTCAAAGCAGCTGCTGCTTAGGGCAGCCTTATTATACATCGCGGGGTCAACCCCATGAAAAGCAGATGACTTGTTCCGTCACATGCAGAAGCCGTTCCAAGCAAGCTCATTGGGAGAACGCCGCCTGTGGGATCAGGCCAAAGGGGACTCCCCTAATTCTCGCAGTGGCTGAACAGATGCATAAAGGAAGCTCAGAGGGGACAGCAGGGCTCTCCCCAGGAAATGGTATTACATACCAGATGGTAAAGGTAAAGGGACCCCTGACCGTTAAGTCCAGTTGCGGACGACTCTGGGGTTGCGGTGCTCATCTCGCTTTACTGGCCGAGGGAGCCGGCGTACAGCTTCCGGGTCATGTGGCCAGCATGACTAAGCCGCTTCTGGCGAACCAGAGCAGCGCTCGGAAATGCTGTTTACCTTCCCGCCAGAGTGGTACCTATTTATCTACTTGCACTTTGATGTGCTTTCAAACTGCTAGGTTGGCAGGAGCAGGGACCGAGCAACGGGAGCGCACCCCGTCACGGGGATTCAAACCGCCGACCTTCTGATCGGCAAGCCCTAGGCTCTGTGGTTTAACCCACAGCCCCACCTGCGTCCCATATACCAGAGACTAGGAAGCAGCTAAAACGAGTCAAAGTGGGCCAGGGAAGAGGAGGAAACGCAGTGCTGCAAACGCATCTGTTTAGTAAGTGGGTATAGTGTTTATTTGGTGGTTGGGGTATTTTTTTACACAATTACAAGCCTCGTACAAATCTGCATTTTACATACATATGTATAATCTTTATACAGAGTAGCAACTTCATCAGAGAACGCTTATGCACGAGGAAAGAAATAACCGATTTCCCCACGGAAGGTGGCTTTGAGTTGGCGGGCATCTCCCTGGCCATGATTTTGACCCAGGACGTCTGGCATTGCAGCTTGTAACTGCAGCAGCTGTTTCTTCTTCCAGCTGCCTCTCCCCTTCAGGAAGTGCTCCCTTTTTTTGACACACCTGTTGCCGTATCTATTGCGGGTTGGCAACAGGGAGGCCTGCACGAGTCGTGAAGGAGCACCAACAAAGGTAGCCTGCTAGTCTATGCAAAGTGGCCCAGTTGGGTGTCACTTAAACCACCTGGTTTTGCTACTGGTCTGCAACTGCGTAGACCAGCAGGCCGCCCTACAAGCCTGGCTAGTTGCAAAATGCAAGAGGCTGCTCAGTGGTTTCTTAGTGTTAGCAGGCAGGCTACAGTAATGGTTCAGTCCCCAAAGTCCAAGGGACACTCTGCTTTAGGGAACCTGGCGAAACTGTAGCGTGTCACCAAATGCATTCATGGTGGCCACCTGCTTCGGCACGACTTCCAACAGTTACCACAAGCAGAGTCAGCGACTTTGCAGGAGACACAAAGGCAGAGTTATGTGGCTGTCGAATTCACCAGCCTGCAGCAATGCACATCAGAGGGAAGAGACAGCCTGGGGCTTAACTCTTGTCTCTGCACAGCTAAAAGGATGGAGATAAAAGGTTAGTCCCACCTCCCGTGGCTTCACATACATGATGGTCTTCCATGTGGTTTATTCTTGATGCATGAGTTTCTCCCTTCATTGCAGTCAACGGAGAGCAAAGTGTTTGCGCTCACTTGTACTGCTCTTCCCTCTGGGATAAGAAGGGTCAGTTTATACTTTCAGCTAAATCAAGTGGCAAAGCTTGCCTTACAGTTATCACTCCAGGCTTCAGGCGATGTCCTCCCCGCAGGCAGAAAAAAAGCACATGTGGGGGGTGGGGAAAAACTAGGCTGAACCCTTTCCCCTGACAGGCTAGTTTTCAACACACAGAGAATATTATCTCGCATATGAGAGCATTCAAACCTGAAGTGCTGCAGTCTCACTTTACTAGCAGATTCCGCTAATTGTAATCAGCTGGTTTTGTGTGCTTTCAGCTTAAAAAGCTGGCGAATGCTGATCATGAAACAAAGCTTCCCCTCGCCACCGCTGCACAAAGTTTCGTTTCCGCAGATTCTAGACCTGCTGAAATTTGGGGTTTTTAATACATATCTATATCTGGTGGTAGCTCATGTGAGAGGGAGGGGAAATGACTCTTCCATTTTAATAAACCAGAAGTCAGCCCATCATTGCCACAAGGAGCAGAGGGAAGAGGGTGCCTGTCTTAAACCTTTTCCTGCATTCTGCTGCCTGAATAACACGGAACAGCTTCGGGCCAAGGCTGCATCCAGCCTCGTTCAGGCTACAGATGCAGCTTCCACAGGTCTCATATACACCTCAAATGGCAAGTGTCTGAACCTGCTAGGAAACTGTTTCCTGCTAAGGAAAGAAGAAAACCCACAAGGGATAAGTAGGCCTCCTTCTAAGTCTTCCTCTTTTAGCCTTGATTTTCATAAAGTGCTTAGTAAAATAATGCTTCACGTGTTTCTTCCATCCCACACCATCCGGTAACGAAAAGCCCCAGCCCTTGCGGCAGGTGTCAATCATTCAAGGCCCTGCTCTTCCAGAGGCACACTACGATCCACACTGTGGCCACCTGAGAAAGGCGTAGCCAATGTGGATGTTTCAGGTACTGCACTCCCAAATTCCTCAGGGATGCTGGGAGCTGTAGTTTAACATCTGGAGAGCACTGCATTGGCAACCGGGGACTAAGATGACACTTTCCCTTCCCTGCTTTTCACTGTTGCTTGTGGGATATCCTGGTATCCCCACGCCCATGGCTTCCTGATGCCACAAGGCCCGCAACCAATGGGTGGCAGGTTGATTTGCCTCCCACCAAAGCTAAACGGCACTGCCCCACTGCAGAAGAAAAGCTCCCCCCAAAAGACACCAATAGCTGAATGACTTGGTTGCAGGAAGCACATTCCAAATAGAGAGGCAGCAATGTGTCCTTCCGGGGTCAGTTCTCGGCTTGGTGAGAAGATACTCCCAGCAGGCCAAACAGGGAAAAGGAGGTCTCTCTGTTTTTCTGCTCCCTGTCTTTCTGCAAATCCCAATGCACAGCAGAATCCAGCACTCTTAAAAGCAAAACAAATGCATGCACTGGTTAGCTCTAGGCCTTGCTCCCGTGTCGTTAAGGGCTCCAGGCACTGTGGCGTCCTCTGGGAGCTGCTCCTTTTGAATGGCCAAGTCTGCTCATCTTCCAGGGTAGAGGGAGCAACCTGGGCTTCCGTCGCTGTTGGAATGAGTTCATCGCAGCAGATAGCAAAAGGCCACAGGTCCCAAGTGCTCTGCTGTCAGCTCAAACGTGACAAAGTTGGCGAACGCAGCATTACCATCAGCCTCAGGGCTGCCAGTTTGACCAAGCAGTTGGGTCCTTGGTTTGGACTTTCCTTCGCCCTCCACAGTAATGCTTGGCCGACTGAGAAGGTAGTTTTACAGGTGACTGAATACATAATTGCCATCAGGGAAAAAGGACTCAGCTGTGTAAATTAGGTAAGGACACTTGTGAGGGTTTATTAGCAGAGGAAGGAGGTAGAGGTGCATGGGGGTTTATCTATGGAGTGCCTGGGACTTTGGATTGAGTGGACAGTTCCTGGAAAACCCTTCATGCAGGACAATACGTCTATTTCTGTTAGTGGCTCAGATCTTTTAAAGCACTTTTCTCCTCACATCAGCTACGTTGCTCCTGCAACAGGGCGAAATTTCACAACAGGAAGATCTCTCCCTTAATAGAAAGATCATTAACGGAAACTGCTGCTATTGATTTTGCAAGATGGTAGCAACAGAAATAACTCTGAAAGCCATAATGGACCACGTTCCAAGGAGTAACTCCTCATGCACCAGATCCTACTCGGGCCTAGCTGAAAGAAATAGCTGTGTGACAGCTACATGGTCTCCAAGATGAAACATGTTCATATGCTTGCAACCCCTGCTGCAGGCTTCGCAGTCGAGAGAGATAACGTGAGCCAATCTGCTGCAGACCTCAAAAGCAAAAACAAGCAGATTCCCAGTGTTTTGACTTGTCGGAAACTGCCTCTTCAGTTCCACATCTAGGAATGCAGGCAACCAAATAGGTGAGAGGGAAAGGAGGGGAGGACACCTCTGAACGGCTGGGCCCAGACTCATCTCCCCTCACCCCATCTCAGTTAATATTGCAGAACCAGCACCGTCCCTGAAAATATTCTTCTGTTTCTTTCTCTCCCATTTTGCCAAAGACCCGGAGGGAAGAATGGAACTTCTGCTCAAGTGCTACACAGGCTACAGGCCCATGAATAGGGCAGGAAGCACAGCAAAAAATGAGGTTCTTTAGCCTTGTAGCAGCCAAGGCAGCCACTTCCCTTGTTCTGAAAGAGGTTCCCCAGAGGCTCTGGATGCTCAGGGAGGACGACGAAGAGGAGGTGAGAGCAGGATGACTGCAGGTCCAGGCCTGGGTGGCTTGAATTAGTAAGGCAGGTTGCAGGAGGGGGGCGGGAAAGAGAGCAGGGGCTTCCAAAACCCAATTTGCCTTCTGCAGACATGGCTGCCTATGCCTGGCGCACCAAGCAGTACACGGTAAGCTGGGAACTTCCTCCTCGACTCTCAGGGGAATATCTGGAGTTCGAATTTGGGTGCCCACTCGAGCGCGCTCTTCACCACAGCCAAAGCTGCCGCGCCCAGCGCCACCGTCAGCCCCATGACTGCCAGCTTCACAAAGCGGTTGGTCCTTGGTTTCGTTGCCAAGAGCATCTTTGCCCGCTCCTCCGCGCGGAGCCGCTCTCTGAAGCGCTGCCGGAGAACCGTGTCGGGCCGCTGCTGGGCCGAAGCCAGCTCAAAGTCTTTGAAGGTGGAAGCAGCCGTCCTGTAGGGGAAGAAGGAAACAGAGGCAGGACATGTCATTCCACGCAGCCAGGCAGGATATGGTTCTCCTGCTGTGGAGAAGGAGGAGGAGGAGTTTGGATTTGATATCCCGCTTTATCACTACCCGAAGGAGTCTCAAAGCGGCTAACATTCTCCTTTCCCTTCCTCCCCCACAACAAACACTCTGTGAGGTGAGTGGGGCTGAGAGACTTCAGAGAAGTATGACTAGCCCAAGGTCACCCAGCAGCTGCATGTGGAGGAGCAGAGACGAGAACCCGGTTCCCCAGATTATGAGACTACCATTCTTAACCACTACACCACACTGGCTCAGGGTATCACAATAAATGTGGAAAGCACCCCTGAAGTCAGTTGTGTTTTCCGGATCTTGGAAACTAGCAACTTTACCAGGAGTTAAAATTCTCAGGTTTGGTTCTCTTAAAAGGATATGGGCAGGAAGCTCACTTCCTAGGGATCAGTCCACCTCAGACGAGGAAACGGAAGAGCAGATCAGAGTTGCCTGAACTCCTGAAATGACCTTGCTTGCTGAACTCACATGGATACCTAGAAACAAGCAGCCAGCCCCATTCTGTCTACACAGGCAACATCTGAGACCCACAGCCAGCAGGCGATCCAACCAGCCTGCAGCTGTTATCAGAGCCAGGAGACGGCACTTGTAGAAACCTTGAGTGACCTTATCTTACACAACAGGCAAAAGGGACAACGGATATTTGAGATGCTCAGAAGAGGATAGTGGAGCTCTCACACGCTCTTTATCTTTCAGGGCCGCTGTTTGGGTTTCTTGCTCCTTTTTTTCTGCTGCAGCAGACGACATAAGCAGCTACCGAGTGAAAACTCAACTGCTGAAAGGGCAAGCTACTTTCCCTCAAACTGAAGTTTTAAAGGCAGAGAGTGGGTTGCCTTTTTGGCACACGGAGGAGAAATCTCTGCTTCTTTCTGAATTCCTCAGTACTGCTGGTAGTTTGGCCAGCATGTGCAGAAACTGCCTTTTTGACTGCTGGACCCACGACTGGTCTCGCCCAATCCACCAGAGCCTGTCTTCACATGCAGGGATATCCCTAACTCACTGAGGGTTTGAGACCCATCGGCTACCCTCACCTGGTTTAGCCGGCCAGTCGAAGCCGTTCCCGAAGTGTGGCCGCTGTTGCATGCTGACAGCTTCTAGGAGCCTCGTGTGAGAGTGGAGCACAGGGTGGGGACCCAAGGTGGACAAACGACCCCAGGAGGAGTATGTTGCGCTACATCTCCACTAACGCCCCAACTAAAGGCGGTCATTACCCACCTTTCGGCTTGCTGCTGAGCAGCCTCCCGGGCAAGTTCCGATGGTGGAAACTGAACGAAGAGGTCTCCAGCTCGACTGATCAGGGTCTCGTACGGAAGGTCTTGTGGGATCTGCGATAAAAGATGGTGGACGGAGGCCATGTCACACTCGCAGGCGAGAACCTCCGGTGCGCGATGGAGCACGATCTGCAGAGAAGCAAGCAGCAACTCAGTGATCCATGCGATGGTCACCTCCAGGCTTGAGTACTGTAATTCGCTCTATGCGGGGCTGCCCTTAAAGCTGTCCCAGAAACTCCAACGGGTGCAGAATGCTGCAGCGAGGCTCCTCACAGGGTCTCTGCCATGGGAGCATATTCACCCAGTGCTTTTCCAGCTGCACTGGCTCCCGGTGGAGTACAGGGTCAGGCTTAAGGTGCTGGTTTTGACCTTTCAAGCCCTTCACGGCCTAGGACCCTCGTACCTACGGGACCGCCTCTCCCGGTCTGCCCCACGGAGAGCCTCAAGGTGCATAAATAGTCACACCCTAGAGGTCCCAGGCCCTAAGGAAGTTAGATTAGCTTCAACCAGAGCAAGGGCCTTTTCAACTCTGGCTCCGGCCTGGTGGAACGCTCTGTCTCATGAGACCAGGGCCCTGCAGGATCTGATTTCTTTCCGCAGGGCCTGTAAGACAGAGTTGTTCCGCCTGGCCTTTGGCTTGGAGCCAATTTGATTCCCTCCTCCTCTTTCTTTTCTCTTTTTCCTTTCTCCTCCTGTGATGAGGTTGTATTTTAATGTTTCAATATTTAATGTTGCATTTTAATCTTGTTTTTAAGTTGTATTCATTCAACTTGTTTTTATTATTGCTTGTTAGCCGCCCTGAGCCCGGCCCTGGCTGGGGAGGGCGGGGTTTAAATAAAAATTATTATTAATATAACTCAGCTTAGGTGGCGCACGGTGCCAACACTTCCCTGTCACAGGGCTACCGTCGCCAAGGGTTCAAAAGGTCCCTGCCACCTGTGATCTCATGTGACAAGAGTTTCAAAAAGCATGGGGGAAACGCAGAGAATACTTCACAAAACTGTGCCCTAAAATACATACCTGGACTTGTTTCGATTAATGTCTGCAGGAGACTTTGTGGATATTCAAGTTATAATTAGAAAAATCTTAATAATTATTCATAAAGGAAACAGCTTATAAGAAGTAAATAAGGAGGCCAGATACAGGATAAAGGAAGTCTTTTATTTGGTTGTCTGTATTGTTGTATGTTATGCTCATTGTATGTTATGTTCACGTTTAATGAGGGTGGATTTCTGTATTGGGGAGGCAGGGGGGTTTATGTTATGTTGTAAATAAAATTCCATATTTTTTTAAAAAAATGAAAAGGTCCCTGCCAAAGGATGCTGCAAGGAGGGTTCCACTCTAAACCCTTTGGGTATGCCCCAGTTTGTAGTTTGATTTCTTTGGAAATAGCAAGTGAAACGCAGTCCATGTGTCTCCCTTACAATTTTCCTGCATTGCAGGGGGGTTGGACTAGATGCCCCTTGGGGTGTGTTCCAAAAATTATATGATTCCATGAACTGTGGCAAGTCAAAATTACCTCCGGGCAACCAGATGCAGCCCTCGTGCTGCTGCTGCATGTGAGAGTTGCCAGGATAAAGAGAGCACAAGCACTCATGGCTCCACAGCAGCAGCTCGCCCTTGACTTTATGGATAGGTCCCAAGTAATGATCCATCGTCCTCTGACAAACAGCAGCCTTCCTCTCCAACATGCAGAATATTTCCCATCCCTATGGTATGGACTGCTGGCAACATTTTCTGTGAAACTTCTCTGCCCAAGCACAGCAAAACTGATGATGATGATGGTAATAATAATAATAATAATAATAATAATAATAATAATAATAATATGCTCTAGTTATCTCCCGCTTGGACTACTGTGATGCGCTCTACATGGGGCTACCTTTGAAGGTGACCTGGAAACTGCAATTAATCCAGAATGCAGCAGCTAGACTGGTGACCAGGGGCGGCCGCCAAGACCAAATAACACCGGTCCTGAAAGACCTACATTGACTCCCAGTACGTTTCTGAGCACAATTCAAAGTGTTGGTGCTGATCCAGCGCCGAGGACCTTCTGGCAGTTCCCTCACTGCGGGAAGTGAGGTTACAGGGAACCAGACAGAGGGCCTTCTCGGTAGTGGTGCCCATCCTGTGGAACACTCTCCCTTCAGATGTGATGGAAATAAGCAGCTATCCTAACCTTAAAAGACATCTGAAGGCAGCCCTGTTTAGGGAAGTTTTTAATATTTAACGTTGTATTGTTTTTAACACTCGATTGGGAGCCGCCCAGAGTGGCTGGGGAGACTCAGCCAGATGGGCGGGGTATAAATAATAAATTATTATTATTATTATTATTATTATAGCTTAACGCAAGGAGGAGAAGCAGATGCTCTCTGCTACAGACTCAAGCTTGTTTTCTTGATGGAAGGTTTGCAACTGGAACTCTGTGCTGAAGGCAAAGCAGCCGCTAAGCAGCAAAGCTGTCTCTTGCAGCTCTGTGCACCTTAAATCATTTTAAAGGGGGCGGGAAGCAAAAAGCACAGCCTGATTTGGTTCATGTTCTACTGCTGAAGTGAGCGACACCTCACTTCAGATTTCCATGGACTACATGGAATTGGCGGAAATGACTGGTAGAATCCGAGACCAGGGAGAAGAGTCGGTGGAAGAAGACTGGAAGAAATTCAAAGACTACTTACGGAAATATTGTAAAATTAATGAATGCTAGAATGATGTTGGATTGAAATTAAGTGGTTTCTAGCTGTAATGGTATAAAAGAATATGAAAAAATTGTTTTTTATAAGTAAAAATTTAAGGTTATAATAACTTAAGATTAAAGATCAGGGTAGAATAAAGAGGGAAAGAAACTGCTGAGCTAATAAATTGAATTGGAATACAAAAAAGGGAGGTATGAGGAGGTCCGGGAAACAAGTAAATGAAAAATAATGTGATGAAAAGATTGATTGTTTTTAACTATTTGTATTTTGTATTTTGTATTTTTTCTTTTTCTATTTTGTAATGTAAAAACCCTAATAAATTTTTTATAAAAAAAAAAATGAAGTGAGCGACACCTACCACTGCTGCAAAGTAGATTGGCATTAGCGGGTGGCATGCCAGGAAGAAGTCGTACAACCGCACGACGTGTCTGAAGTCAGACAGCACGTGTCCAAACCAGGTGATCAGCCAGCTGAGAGCAAAAATGGTCCCCACTTCAGCTCTGTGCAAAAAAGAGGAACAAAGAAACAAAAGGGTCAAGGTAAAGCATCCCGTTTGCTCAACCCCCCTCCCCCGGTTGCAAGTTGCATCTGGGATGGCTGTTCTCCTCATGCTATGGCATGGGATTCAGCAGCAATTCAGGAAGGGACAAGCTATCAAAAGAGCCTTGTGACATCTTCTTCCTTGGAGGTTGCCAAGACTGAACAGGTGTCTGCCTATCAGAAATGCTTTTGGATGTCCCACTTCAAGGTCGCTTCCAATTCTATTTCTCAGAGAATACAAAGGAATACGGACACAGAAGGCCTAGAAGCCACTAACTGCATCACCAAATTCTCCAAGTTTTGCTTCTCGAGAGGGGCGCTGAAAAAGGCACTGCTCAGTCATGCTAGGAAGCAGTAAAGGAGGACTTCCTAGAGTTAACCTTCAATTGCATGCATTTTTTAAAAAAAGGAAAGTGCAGCACTTCTACCTACCTCTGCATGAAGTCGTGCAATTCTGGATTCACCTGGTCTATTATGGGCATCAGGTAGTTTAAGATGTGCTTGGTGTTGTCCATTGTTGGGTCCATAAAATCCCTGCCAGGCAAAGAAGGTCTGGTCAGCCAAGGCATGAAGCAGCGTGAAGCAAATGCTCTCTTGTTTATCACAGACAGCAAACGGTGCAAAGCAGACCAGAAGCCAAGAGATACCCAAATGCCCAGGGAAGTGGGAATAGCTTTGGCTCATGGAGATGGGATACTTTTTGGTTCCAACAGCCAGAGGCTCACTCGCAGTATACGGCGTGCAAGTGTACAAACTTGAACACAAGAGAGGCTGTTGCAACAGAGAAACACAAGTGACCATGCAGGTCCAGTTTTTCTATTTTGGAAAAGGAAAGTCACTAGGACTCCAGCAGAAAAACATGCAGAAACCCTGAAGGCGTGGGTCCAAGGTCATGGCTTGCTTTTGGAAAACAACAACACACTTTATGTTCTTGAGAAAACTATGCTCACAAGGGGGCTTGGTGCACTGTGAATGCCACAATTGCTTTGACACAGACTGAAAGCAGACTGTGGTTCTAGACACTGGCCATTGCCACTAGCCACTAACATTTCTGCAAAAGCTAGCTTCAGGAAAGTCTGGCAAGGGCTGGTGCTGAGAAGAATCTGGGGAACACAACCCTCTCTCCCAGCAGGCTCTGTAGATTTAACACACTCCTTCAACCTTTGCCTCAATTTCTAGTTAGTATTTAGAAAGGGTGTGAGAGTGATTTCTCTGCAGGAGGCTGGCCTGGCTTTTGTTTGGGACTGGAATACTTAACTCTCACAGCTGCCCAGTCCCTCCCATTGCAAACAAGATAACAATGGATGGAAATTGGGAAAGAGCAGCAGCAAAGCATCAGGCATTCATCAGCCTCCCTTATAACCGCACCTGCCATCCCAGAGTACAGTGAAATACATTTTTTCTTTGTCCTCTTTTAAGACTGTTCTATTGTGCGTATTGCAACTCTGTTTGTATTGCAGTTACAATAAGATCAGAATAGATTATGTCCTCTTACTTCTACCCAGAAGATTTTAATCCATCCAGTCTGCTCTCCAGTCCCTTCCCCACTGCGCTTTTTCACTGGGTTGGGCAGAACTACCACCGCCTTATCAAAGTGCAGCAGAGCGTTTTCTAATCTACATCAAGAAGCAACAGCAAAAGCAACACAATGCTGATTCCTGGGCAGAATAGTCCCTGGGAACTTTAGGTAGCACAGTCCTAGGAAGGGTGCAACGTCTATAGCCAAGGACCTGGGTTTCAACCATCTCTATTACAGAAGCCCAATGGAAGTGCAGGAAGGAGGTGTTGAATCTTTGGGTGGGATTCACCCAACAAACCCATCAGTGGAAACCCTCTGTAAGGGCTTTTGCTTGCACAGTGGGGCTTCCTTCTCCTTGCCCATTCTACCTTTGGCCCTGGAGTGGGTGGCAGAAACCCCAGAACGGGGGGAAGGGAGAGTCATTCCATCTGGCAACCTAATACGCTTGCACAGATGGAACGTTTGTAATAGCACAATGTTGAAACCCACCCTTTAATTTTTTTAATAAGCCTGGGTGACATGCAGAGAATGTGGTTCAGAGAGGAGGGGAATTGGACTTCTCCCTTCAGAAGGGCCTGCATGTCCCTCCTCCAACTGAGCAAGCTAACAGTCAGGAGGTAGGGGACGTTTAACTGTCATTAAAGGTAAAGGTACCCCTGACCATTAGGTCCAGTCGTGGACGACTCTGGGGTTGCCCGCTCATCTCACTCCATAAGCCGAGGGAGCCGGTGTTTGTCTGCAGACAGCTTCTGGGTCATGTGGCCAGCAAGACTAAGCCGCTTCTGGCGAACCAGAGCAGCCTGCCAGAGCAGTACCTATTTATCTACTTGCACTTTGACATGCTTTCAAACTGCTAGGTTGGCAGGAGCAGGGACCGAGCAACGGGAGCTCACCCCGTCGCGGGGATTCAAACCACCCACCTTCTGATCGGCAAGCCCTAGGCTCTGTGGTTTAGACCACAGTGCCACCCGCGTCCCTTTTAACCCTCATTGGGAGGTTGGGAGGCTGCAAACCCAAACAGCGGGAAGTGGAAAGAACACAGGCACTAGGCAGCTCCACTCAAGAACCAACCCCAGCTCCCTTAGCGGGAGGCTGATGCACAGTACAAAGGCTTTAGGACCCACTGTGGCAGGAAAGACACTTAATGGGAAGGGCCAGAGCTTAGTGTTAGAGAACATGTTTTGCATGCAAAAAGGTGCCAGGTTCAATCCCTGGCGTTTGCAGGTAAGGCGGGGCATGTTCCCTGCCTGAAAGCATAGAGAGCAGCTAACAGTCAATGTAGGCAACACCAAGCTAGGTAGACCAATGGTCTGACTCAATATAAGGGAGCTTCCTATGTAAATCCCGTTGGATGTGCTCAGAGCAGGGGTAGGCAAACTAAGGCCCATGGGCCGGATGTGGCCCCATCCGGCCCAATCGCCTTCTCAATCTGGTCTGCAGACGGTCTGGGAATCCGCGTGTTTTTACATGAGTAGAATGTCTGCTTTTATTTAAAATGCATCTCTGGGTTATTTGTGAGGCATTGGAATTAGTTCTTCTTTCCCCCCCCCAAAAATATAGTCCGCCCCCCCCCCAAGGTCTGAAGGAGAGTGGACTGGCCCATGAAAAAGGTTGCAGACCCCTGGCTCAGAGAGAGAAAGTTGGAGATCTGGGGGTTCCAAGGTAAGAAGAAGAAGAGTTTGGATTTGATATCCCGCCTTTCACTCCCTTTAAGGAGTCTCAAAGCGGCTAACATTCTCCTTTTCCCTTCCTCCCCCACAACAAACACTCTGTGAGGTGAGTGGGGCTGAGAGACTTCAAATAAGTGTGACTGGCCCAAGGTCACCCAGCAGCTGCATGTGGAGGAGCGGAGACTCGAACCCGGTTCCCCAGATTATGAGACTACCGCTCTTAACCACTACACCACACTGGCTCTCAAGGAGCAACTTGAGCATCCTCGTTTTCACTGTGTGGACTTTTCTTTCTGGCTCACTCCTTGTTAAAGGCAGAGGCACCATTCTGCAGCAGGGACCTAACAGCCACTGCTAACCTATTCCTGGAGCCCAGGTGGGTCGCCATGTGAATTTGCCACTGCGCAGCAACCCGGGAGCCTGCTCCATGACTCCTTTCCGGCTCCGCAGCCAGGGGTGCTCTCTAACGCAGACAAGAGTACCTGAGGTGATGGGTTGAAAGCTTTTCCACGAGGGCCGTTGCCAGTCTCTCTCCAACCACAAGCAGAAACGTGACCACGATGTCGTGGTAGCCTTGGTAGTAGTGAAGCTGTGGGTTGCGCTGCAAGACCTGCAGGATGCTGTCAATCAGCTCTTCCTGCAGCCCCTCCCTCTGCTCATCTGGCATCCCTGCAGGGAGAGCAACAAGAAGGGTTCGGAGAGTTGGCAGCTGAGAACATCCACCTGACAACATCCTGCATCCAAGTGACACGAGTTACTTCAGCTGCCTGTCTCTCTTGTCTCCTGCCAGCTGAAGACACATAGATCCAAAGGCAGAATCATTAAGGGATTCCTGGATTTAACGATGGGGGTTAATTACCTCCTCAGCTCCATTACTTTCTTGTGCATACAGTGTGCAGCACTGCATGGCCAAACTCAATAGCAGAGGAAGAGTTTGGATTTGATATCCCGCTTTACCACTCCCTTTAAGGAGTCTCAAAGCGACTAACATTCTCCTTTCCCTTCCTCCCCCACAACAAACACTCTGTGAGGTGAGTGGGGCTGAGAGACTTCAGAGAAGTGTGACTAACCCAAGCAGAAGCTCAGTAAGTCTGCACTACAAGCATAAAGCAGTTAGCCAGTCACTGTATCTCTGCAAGAAAACCTGGTAATAGCAGTTTTACAGCATCTCTATCCTGAGGTGGGCATCCCTTGGTTCAAGCAATAAATCTGATAATTTCCCAGGCAATTTATCTCTTATTTTAATCACAAGTCTCGCAGCTTCATTGAATATCAAAATATCACTGGTGCTCAGAGGGAGACTCGGTGTTTGGTTCCTTCAGCTGCATCTTCAGGAACTTAGGCGGCAGCAGGACTTGGGGGGAAAAGATCCTGCTGTGATCTTGAAGAGCTGCCGCCAAAGACAGTCAGGGCCTAGGCTAGATGGACCTATGACATTACTTGGCACAAGCCAAGGCCATATTTTCATGTGTTTAGCTGGCTTGAGACAGTTTAAAACGCAACACCCTTCAATTGGCTAATTGTTCCAGTGCAAGAGAAGGGAGTAGTTTACACTTGTGCAGTCAGGCTCCAAACTTTCCAGCCACAAATATATTGGGTTGATATTCTGCAAACATGAGTACCCTCTGGTAGTACACAGGACCCTTTCCTGCACAATGAAATACCAGCAGGATTGCCAGTGGCAAACAGAAGAGGAAGCTTCTCTCTGCACGGAGAACTTCTCTCTGAACTGGATCTGCTGGCAAAGTGACTCAGCTTAGCACATTAAGAGTCACCAGCTCTTTCATTGCAGGCTGAAGAATACCATGGTCGGAGGCAAGCAACAGCTAAATGAAGCATACAGCAGCATCACCCATTGGTAGGGAGTGAAAACACAAGCGCAGATAAAGAAACAGAGGACCTCCCTCAAGTCTCACTTATTCTGGGCCACTGGGGTGTTGCTAGGGCAACAATATCGCAAGCAGCATGTCTAAGCTATCACCTTAAACTAGTTCAGGCATCATGGTTTTCTACTAGGGGTAGATGGTTCAGTCTATTCCCAGCTCATGCCAACTTTCCATGTATTTATTCCTAAATCTGTTCTGTCCCATTTCCACATTTATCTGAGAATTTCTTAAAGCAAAATATGTGTGGAAATTCATAACTAAATTAATATTTCAATGTACATTTTGCTGCAAAACACTATGTCATTGCATACATTTCATAAATACTTTTTTTCTGAGCCAAGAAATCAGAGAAGTGTGAAATCCCAAAGGATGATTGTATTTTAATCTGCGTGTAAGTGTGGGAGGTGTAAATTAGGTCATTTCACTAGAAATGCAGGCCAAATGAAATTCTCTGTCATCTCTACTTTCAACCCAAGGGATTTCTGCAGAGACCCCACAGCTGGAAGCAGAGAGTGCTTCTTGTACCTGGAGGAAAGCGTCGGAGAGATCGCCTCACATCCAGCAACACTTGCTGGTAATCTTTGTTGTCCTCTCGGAGTTCCTCACCTAGGAGGGACAGAAGAGTGTCACAGATCCACAGTAGTCACAAAAGGAGGACCAGCCCCAAGGAACTAAGGAGGGAAGTGTGTTTAATACAGCCATAAAAACTGAAACTGAATACCTATTAACAAGTACTCATCAATGTTCAAAACATGGTTTGATCTATGCAATGGGACACTAACAACACAGGTTCTGAGCACCAGGGAAACATCAGTCTTAAGGGTAGCACATATTGCAATGCCATTTGAACAGGCTTCTCTTCACCTGCTAATTGCACCAGACACCAGCAGCTGCACTTCCAAATGGATTTGCTGCCATTTGTGGGGGCTGCAGCTAAAAGGAGTTTTACTGGACTCCTGGATTTATTTATTTTTATTCTAAACCATTCCTGGATCTGCTTTTTAATAGCATTAAATATGCAAGAGGGTGAAGCCACGGAACAACTCTGTGTGAATACTAAAAGCCATGTTAATGGAAGACAGCTCTCCAATTACATAAATAAATAAATACTGTAAAACCAAAATGCAAACTGTGCTTTGAGTAATTAACCCCACACTCAAGCTCAAAGGTTCCCAGAGTCTTTCCCCAGATTGCAAGAGTTATGTGGCTTCACCTGGCGGAGGTGGCAGGTCCTCTGTGTTCACATTAAGCAGCTTTGGCCACACCCTGCAGCGGATCTCATCCATCAGAAGCCCCCCTTCGCTGATAGCCATGCGCCTGAGTGCAGCAACATCCACAGGCTCGCTGCTCAGGGCCTGGTAGATCTCTGCTTCTTTCCTTTTTTTCTTGGAATCACAGTCTGCGAGAGAAACAAAAATCAAATTCAAACCAGCCTTAACAGCAGTTTCGCCTGCTAATGATTGTGGCCTCAAAAGGGGACAGTAATTTATTTACAAGATGGGGAAAGTGGGGCGCTAGATCACACTGGCCAACCCACCAAATCAGCAGAGTGTTTTCTACAGTGTAGTTAATAAACTTGTTTAAGAAGAAACCAAATAGTTGACCAAAAGGCAATGGTGACACAACAAACATCAGATGGGCCAATGCAAATGTCGCAGGCTAGTTGATGTTTCATTTATGGAATTTTTAGCTTAATGCTCTGAAAGACAGAACTGCTCAATTGCCACATAGGACACTTTTTTTCCTTTCAGTTTAGTATTGTACACAATTTGGCATTGCACACTCAAAAGATCTGACCGTCAGTCTCCATCTCAACAGAATCACACCAGAAAGTGTTGCATCACAGAAAGCTTTCTTCACACCAACACAGACACGTAACCTCATTCCACTGAATCACAAACTAAGCAACACCTGCGTCAGTAGCACTTGGTACTTGACTGTTGCTAAAAACCAGCCAATTTGTTTTTAATGCAAAGGTTAATAATAATAATGGGGACGCGGGTGGCGCTGTGGGTAAAAGCCTCAGCGCCTAGGGCTTGCCGATCGAAATGTCGGCGGTTCGAATCCCCACGGCGGGGTGCACTCCCGTTGCTCGGTCCCAGCGCCTGCCAACCTAGCAGTTCGAAAGCAACCCCGGGTGCAAGTAGATAAATAGGGACCGCTTACTGGCGGGAAGGTAAACGGTGTTTCCATGTGCTGCGCTGGCTCGCCAGATGCAGCTTTGTCACGCTGGCCACGTGACCCGGAAGTGTCTCCGGACAGCGCTGGCCCCTGGCCTCTTAAGTGAGATGGGCACACAACCCCAGAGTCTGTCAAGACTGGCCCGTACGGGCAGGGGTACCTTTACCTTTAATAATAATAATAATGTTATTATTTATACCCCACCCATCTGGCTGGGCTGCCAGCAGTAATAAGGCAAGCACAAAGCAAGCACATGATCCAGTATAACATTTTAAGGATATCTGACTGTTATGCAAAGCAGCAGGCTAAATGCATTGGGCACAATACAACAAGCCCCCAAAGATCTAAACCTTTTGCAGTTTCATTGTGAACACTGCTACACATCTGGACCAGAGCCACCAGAAAAAGCTGGTGATAATCAGCTGCTTTGTTTTATGTTCATATACTTCTCCAGTGCAAGAAGGACAGTGGGGGGTGGGGGAGCAGCAACAACCTCAGGGAGCCAAATATGTGGAAGCATGACCAGTTTGCATTTAAAAGCCTCTTTCATAAGACTCTGTTTGTGCAATTTGCATCCTTAACACCCACTCTTAGAATTCAGATGGGAGCTGATTTGAAGGGCTCTAACTTGGCAAGGCAACTTGTCACTCTGGATAGTTTTGCAAGACAACAAATGACCCAAAAGGAGGGCACCAAAAACCCTCACACACACACCCAATTACACAACCCCCTGCAGTTTGCAACAGTGCCTTAAAAACTTTGCTATGCAGTGTGTAACTCTTCTGCATTTCCAGCCGCATACAGAAGGTTGTTTTGGCAGGAAATTTCATGAGTGCTGAGTTTCTACAGAACACAATGCTGGAACTTGGAAAGCTACATGCCACTTGACAGAAATCATCCCAAAATAAGCAAGACGAGCAAACAGAAGAAGGATTTCTTTCTACTTGACTCACAGTCTAAATAAAAGTTGACCCTGGTTTCTTTCTCTTTCACTCTATCCTCCTTATTGCTAATTTGCACAGGTGTCATGACAGTGGAATGGAAGGTCCTCAGTGCTCTGGTTCCCAAGGACGGCAGTAGCCGAGACAACTCTGTTTTGCACACACACGACTTTAGTGAAGATGTATGAGTGGAATAAAGGACTGTTTCTCCCCCAAAAGAAGCCCCGCAGTGGCACAGGCAACAGTGAAATGGATTGCATACATGCCTAAAAGGAATAATTCTGTTAGGTGTGGGATATTTTTCCTTATGAAGAAGAAGAAGAAGAGTTTGGATTTGATATCCCGCCTTTCACTCCCTTTAAGGAGTCTCAAAGCGGCTAACATTCTCCTTTCCCTTCCTCCCCCACAACAAACACTCTGTGAGGTGAGTGGGGCTGAGAGACTTCAAAGAAGTGTGACTGGCCCAAGGTCACCCAGCAGCTGCATGGGGAGGAGCGGAGACGCGAACCCGGTTACCCAGATTACGAGACTACCGCTCTTAACCACTACACCACACTGGCTCTCTATGAGGGCCACATTGCTTCTAGGGCAGTGGTAGGTGGGGCCAGAAGCAAATGTAGGTGCAGCAAAGAATCCTAATTTTGCTTTTGTACAGCAAGCTTTTTCTATGCATATCCCTCTCAATCAGAGTTTAACAGCACATTCTAGCCAGACAAAAAGGAGGCTGCAAAGCAGGGCTGGTGAAGGGTGTGTGTCCTGGGGAAAGTCCCATAGTATTATATGGGACGCGGGTGGTGCTGTGGGTAAAAGCCTCAGCACCTAGGGCTTGCCGATCGAAAGGTCGGCGGTTCGAATCCCCGCAGCGGGGTGCGCTCCCGTTGTTCGGTCCCAGCGCCTGCCCACCTAGCAGTTCGAAAGCACCCCCGGGTGCAAGTAGATAAATAGGGACCACTTACTGGCGGGAAGGTAAACGGCGTTTCCGTGTGCGGCTCTGGCTCGCCAGAACAGCGATATCACGCTGGCCACGTGACCCGGAAGTGTCTCCGGACAGCGCTGGCCCCCGGCCTCTTGAGTGAGATGGGCGCACAACCCTAGAGTCTGTCAAGACTGGCCCGTATGGGCAGGGGTACCTTTACCTTTATTATATGTTGCATATCTTTTTTCTGCTGCAAGTTGCTTGGAGACCTTTGGGCGACAAGTGTCTAATGTCCAATAAATGAAATCAATGAAAGGTAGAAACGGCTGCACCTGGCTCCTGAGCTCAAGGTTCCCCACTTCTAGGTTAGCTCTTAGACCAAGAGCATTCCAGCCCTCACCAGGCAACTGCTGTGTTTCAATTTCTTTTACTGCTAATTTTAATCATTTATAAATGTTTTATTTGCTTTTATTCCAACACTTCTTGTAAACTGCTTACAGGTTTTACAATAAAACCGTACCTAAATTTTGTTAAAGGGACGCGGGTGGCCTAGGACTTGCCGATCAGAAGGTTGGCGGTTCGAATCCCCGCAACGGGGTGAGCTCCCGTTGCTCGGTCCCTGCTCCTGCCAACCTAGCAGTTCGAAAGCATGTCAAAGTGCAAGTAGATAAATAGGTACCACTCTGGCGGGAAGGTAAACGGCATTTCTGTGCGCTGCTCTGGTTCGCCAGAAGCGGCTTAGTCATGCTGGCCACATGACCCAGAAGCTGTATGCCGGCTCCCTCGGCTAATAAAGTGAGATGAGCGCCGCAACCCCAGAGTCGTCCACGACTGGACCTAATGGTCAGGGGCCCCTGTGCCTTTTTATAAATTTGTTAAGTGAAAGTATGCACGTATCAGAAAGAGGTAGAACACTTTCTCCGCAGTGTCCCTGCAGATGGGTCCTAACCCTCCTGAGGGAAGCCCGCCCCACCTACTTCACTTTTGCACTGGAAGGGAAACGGTTTGAACACACACCTGTCTCAGCACTGCCGGGGGGGCGGGGCGGGGAGCAGCTTCCTCCCTCCCATAGCTGTCAACCTTCCCTTTTTTTGTGGGAAATTCCCTTATTTCAGCGCCGTTTCCTGCTGCTTCCTGCTGCTATCCCAGATTGTTAGATATCCCGTAGACCAGTGTTTTTCAACCACTGTTCCGCGGCACACTAGTGTGCCGCGAGATGTTGCCTGGTGTGCCGTGGGAAAAATTGAAAAATTCGAAAGATTTAAAAATAAAGTATTTTATAATTTTTCATATTTCTGTTTACTTACTATTTCATAATAAAGTAATTATAAAATACTTTCTTTGTGTTTATTTGATTCCTATTCAAGATAATTACTTTATATATAGTCAATATAGGCACAGAGTTAAATTTTTTTAACATTTTCTAATGGTGGTGTGCCTCGTGATTTTTTTCATGAAACAAGTGTGCCTTTGCCCAAAAAGGTTGAAAAACACTGCCGTAGACTGTGCCCGGGACAGGTGAGGCTGCTGATCCCTTATTTTCAAATCTGAAAGTTGACAGCTATGCTCCCACCTGCATTCAAGAGGCCTCCCACTGTAGTGCTTTGGAATAATCTGCCTCCCCCCAAAAAATAATTAAATAAACTACACAGGGAACCAGATGGCGGGAGTCGCAGTTGCTTCACCTGTTCGACTTCTGCCTGACACTTCTGAGAAGCGAGGGGAGGAAGCGTCACCCGTCGCCCCGCCCACCCCCGGAACGGCCCCCTCCGATTGGCTCCTGCCTCCTGAGCGAGGAGGGGACGGGGCGTGGCCTCCTCTCCGCCCCGCCCCTTCTCCCTCAGGGCCGCGTCGCCCCTCAGCGGAGCCAAGGCCTCCCTTTCCCCCCTCAGGCGCCCGGCGGTCAAGGCGGCCGAGGGCCTCGCACCCCCGCCGGCCGAGCGGCCCGCGTACCTCGCCTCCCGTTGTCGTGCGGCGGCGGCGGCGGTGGCCTCCGGAGGGCCATGGTCTCTGGGCGCCTCCGAGGAGCATCCCGGCCGGGCCTCTCCGGCTTCGTGTCTCTTTTCCCCCTCTTCCCTTACTCCTCCCTCCCGAGGCTCCGCCCACTTCTCGCTTCTTGCCCGCCTCGGCTGGCGCCTGCCAAAGACGTCACCGCCGCCGCCGCCAACCGCCGCGCCTCGAGCGCACGCCGGAGAGGAGTAAACAGCGCCCGCCGCGCATGCGTCGCACCCGCTTTCCTCTCACTGCTCTCTGTGCTCGATAGCGCAGCGGCTTTACCATAGATGTCGCAGGGAAAGGCTAGAGCGGCACGCAACGGGTTCGGAGGTTGAACATAGAGATAGAAAGTGTAGGGGAGCAAACGCTGTCTTTTCTGTGTAAGATGCCAACCAAAGAGCCTTTTAGCACTGCCCATTTTATAATGTGCTGGCACACATTTAAAGAACCACGATGCCCACCTAATAATAATAATAATAAATTTTATTTATATCCCGCCTTCCCCAGCCGAAGCCGGGCTCAGGGCGGCTAACAATAAAACAGTACAACATTCTAAAATCATTTCATTATAAAATTAATTCAACTCAAATTGATGGCAACCATTAGGCTAAAGTGCCTACTGCTGTGCCCACAGCTGGACAGCGTGTGATCTTGTGTTTATTTTTTACTTGACACATTCTGCGCAGATCAGAAAAATCTGAATTAAATCGGGGGGCGGTGGATGAGGACGACGTCACGTGGATAATCAGAAAAATATGCAGGAGATACATGAAATCTAAATTGCCTAAGAAACCGTGCCTTAAGGACTGAGCACCCTGTGATTACCTAATCTTACACGCATGCTGCTGCTAAACCCAGGCAAGAACCTGAGGAAACATTTGCTCGTAGTGGATGAATGGAAAGGATCGGGAGAGACTGCATCAGATAATTCATCCATAATTCATGCAATGGATGGGCATGCAGTTTGGAGGAAGAGATGGAGGAGGAATTTGCACTTTGCTGGAGCGGATGGGTGGGTTTGATGTCTATGCACGGCCAAGTTGTGGTCAACTCACTTTCAAGTGAATAACTCAAAGCATGCCTGTATTGCAGCTGGCGAGTGTGTGTCCAGAGGGTGCCTGCTGCTCCGCTTTTGAGCTTTGTTCTGATTGTATTTAACTGTAAAATAAATATAAATAACAGTACTCTTTAAAAAACTGCACCTGTTTCTGAGCGCTTCCCGGCTGCTGCTGTTTTTGGCGGGTGGGATTCAATCGCATGCAGGCAAAACCAGATTGCGCAACCAGTGTCGACCTGCACCACGAACCCGAAGTTTTGCAAGGAAGAAAGTGACCGGTAAATTCCCTGTAAAGCGCCCTCGACTTGCAATGAGCGCCCGTTATCGAAACAGCGAACGTCGCCATTTCCGCAGCCGCGCCGGCAGGGGGCGCTCTGCCAGCTTTTTTTTAAAAAAAATCATTCGTTCGTTTCCACCCGGAGCGGTTTGAGCGTTGCCACGAGCGAGGCGGAACGAAAGGCTTCCCTCGCCCCGAGGGCGGAAGTGAGGCAGGAAGCCGGAAGCTGAGCTCCGAGGCGGCTGCGGCGGCCGGGCCGGAGCGCTTTGGCGGTTGCACCGGGGCAAGATGGCGGATCGGGAGGAGGCGCTGAGGGAGTTCGTGGCCGTGACCGGGGCCGAGGAGGAGCGAGCGCGCTTCTTCCTGGAGTCGGCGGGCGGGGATCTGCAGGTAACCCTCGGCCGGGGAGGGGGCGCCCCTCGATTCCCGGGGGGGGGAGAAGAAGGGGGGGAAGAGGAGCAGCGCCTCTCCCCCTTTCTCCTCCTAACACCCGAATGGGCCCCCTGGACACTCTCTCTTCTCTCCTGTCCTGTCCCCCCTCCCCATTTGCTCTCCCCCTCACCACTGCCCTCCCTCTCTCTCCCGCCCCCTTGTCCTCCCACCTGCCCTCCCTCTTTCCCCCTACTCCTCCTTCCCTCTTTTCCTCCCCTCCCTCCTTTTCCCCTCCCCCTCCCTCCTGCCCCACATCCCTCCCCCATTCCCTCTCCCCCTCGCCACTGCCCTCCCACTTTTCCTCTCTCCTGCCCTCCCTCTCTCCCCTCCCCACCATCTTCCCTGCCCCCTTTTCCTCTTCCCTCCCACCTGCCCTCCCTCTTTTCCCCACCCCTCCTTCCCTCTTTTCTTCCCCTCCCTCCTTTTCCCCTCCCCCTCCCTTCTGCCCCCACCCCTCCCCCTTTTCCTCTCCCTCTCACTACTGCCCTCCCCCTTTCCTCTCTCCTGCCCTCCCTCTCTCCCCCTCCCCGCCATCTTCCCCCGCCCCCTTTTCCCCTCCCCCTTTCCCTCTCTCCCCCTCCCCACCATCTTCACCCACCCCCTTTTCCTCTCCCCTCCCACCTGCCCTCCCTCTTTTCCTCCCCTCCCTCCTTTTCCCCTCCCCCTTTCCCTCTCTTCCCCTCCCCACCATCTTCCCCCACCCCCTTTTCCTCTCCCCCCCACCTGCCCTCCCTCTTTTCCTCCCCTCCCTCCTTTTCCCCTCCCCCTCTCTCCTGCCCCACCCCCTATTTCCTCTCCCCCTCACCACTGCCCTCCCCTTTTCCTCTCCTGCCCTCTCTCTTTCCCCCTGCCCTCCCCTCCTCCCTCTTTTCTCCCCCTTCTCCCTCCACCACTTGCCCCATATCCCCCCCACAGCTGTTCTGCCCTGGACAATGGTCCTAGTACAGAAATGCTCCCCTCCCCCTGTGGCCCCCCCTCCTGTGGTCCCTCCCCCCACCTTCCTTGGCCTCTAGGACTGCCTTTCTTTCCTCCCTCCCTCCACGCAGCACTGCCTAATCTGTGGAACTCGCCTCTGCAGGTGTCCACCAGCCTGGATGGCTTGGGAAAGAGGACTGAATCCATGGAGGCAGCAATGCTTGTGGGTGCCAGTCTCTGGAAAGTGTGGGAGAGTTGCTCTTGTGATAAGAGTCCAGCCTTCAGGTTTTGCAAAAAAAGGAGGGGCATCTGTTTGGCCTCTGTGAGAACAGGATCCTGGGCCAGATGCGCCATTGGGTCTGATCCAGCAGGCTCTTCTTATGTTCTTGGTTTGTTAAGGGTACTGCTGAGAGCTGATCGGAGACACTTGTTCTTCTCACGGAGCTAGGATTCCCAGAGTGATTTAACAATCCATTCTTCTTTACTGGGGTGCTGGATTAGATGGGCTCTATTTGGTCTGATCCAGCAGGCTCTTAAGTTCTCCTTCTTTCTCCTTCGTCCTCTTCTTCATGACACATCTTTCTTCTTCCCCCATACAAAACTTTATTCTCCCATACAATATCTTCCTTCTTGTAGCAAAGTCGTTCCCTCCTGCACACTCAAGGGTCAAGACTTTTGAGTGTGTAAGATATTACCTTATTCTTTTGGCTTAGCTTCACCTTTGCTAACCTAGTGCCCTCCATATGTTTTGGGCTATGATTGCCATCAGCATGCAGGCTGCTGTGGCTGATGGGAGTTGTAGTGCAGTTGTAGTTCAGAACTTCTGGGTGGCACTAGATTGTTGAAGGCTGGCTTAGCTCTTGCCAGGGGGCTCCATTCTGATAAAGAAGCCACAGTTTTTTGACTTGCTTTGCAGTAGGATGGAGAAAAGACCTCATTGCTGCCCATTTGTAGCCTGTCATCATTGCTCTTTCTTCGCTTTTTTAGAATGCTGGCTGGAAGTTGCAAGTAAATTTCTATCCCTCTTTAAAAAAAAAGTTCATCTTTCAGAATCCAGGTACCTTAACCAGTAGCTCCCAAATAGTGAATCAGTGCCACTGTATTCTGCTCTGGTCAGACCTCACCTGGAGTACTGTGTCCAGTTCTGGGCACCACAGTTCAAGGAGGACACTGACAAACTGGAACGTGTCCAGAGGAGGGCAACCAAAATGGTCAAAGGCCTGGAAACGATGCCTTATGAGGAACGGCTAAGGGAGCTGGGCATGTTTAGCCTGGAGAAGAGGAGGTTAAGGGGTGATATGATAGCCATGTTCAAATATATAAAAGGATGTCACATAGAGGAGGGAGAAAGGTTGTTTTCTGCTGCTCCAGAGAAGCGGACACGGAGCAATGGATCCAAACTACAAGAAAGAAGATTCCACCTCAACATTAGGAAGAACTTCCTGACAGTAAGAGCTGTTCGACAGTGGAATTTGCTGCCCAGGAGTGTGGTGGAGTCTCCTACTTTGGAGGTCTTTAAGCAGAGGCTTGACAACCATATGTCAGGAGTGCTCTGATGGTGTTTCCTGCTTGGCAGGGGGTTGGACTCGATGGCCCTTGTGGTCTATTCCAATTCTATGATTCTAGGAGGACACAAGGAAAAAATATTACATCAATGGAAGAAAGAAAAGGTATTGGTGGAAAAGCTCTTCCTTTAACTGTTGGAGGGGAGGCTGATTTTTAGTTTTCCTACTAAATAGTCAAGTAATCTGGTGTTAGCCACAGCTGGAGATGTAATACTTTGATCAGCTCAACACCAATTGCAGCTAGGCTACTTGTGCTTCAGGTAGAACTGGTTTCCCACCTACAGCACTTTGGCTTCCAAGAAGATCCAGACTGTTCTAATTATGAAGGCGCCGCAGGCTGAGAAAGTCACAGGCTAACTGCCGGCATACTGTTTCAAACACCCATTCTGGAGCTTCCATATATTTTAGCAAGATTAAAATTTTGACATTTATAGCGCAGAACAGTCTTGCATATGAGCCCATAAACTTGAGTTTGCCCATCGGCATCCGTGTTCCACTACAGTGTTTGGACCCTGGGATTGGCAAGGTATTTGCCCAGAAGGAATGGCCTCTGATGAACAGGCACCTGGTGTTTTCAGCAAAACTGTAATAATTTGGCACTTAATGGAGAACAGTTCCAAGTGTCTCTCTGAAAGGAGCTCTCTTTCCAATGCTTTAGGGCTACTTGGCATGCTACAGCAGGTGAACGGCAATTTCCCTTGCATGAACATGTTGCCAGGTAGGAATTCTGTGTGGTGGTGCCATGTTCCCATATTGCATGGTGTCTTGGAATACATCACCGTATTTTTCGCTCTATAAGACACACTTTTCCCCTCCTAAAAATAAGGGGAAATGTGTGCGCATCTTATGGAGTGAATGCAGGCGGGAGGCTCTGCTCAGTGCTCCCTTTAAAGAGACTCGTGGAGCGTGTGTGCGGCTCTTGGGGGCTTTTCCCCGAGGAGGGAGAAGGGCTGCCCTCCTCAGGGAAAAGCCCCCAAGAGCCGCACACACGCTCCATGTGCTCTTTAAAGGGAGCATGGCTCTTGGGGGAGCCTTCTGCCTTAGCCGCGCGCAGCCTCTTCCAGGCAGGGGGAGCCTTCATTCCTCCTGCCTGGGAGAGGCTGTGCACGGCTATCCCATATGCCAGGACATCAAGAGGCTATCCCAGAGGCCAGATCCCTCTTGCTGTTCTGGCTTCTGGGATTCAGAATATATTTTTCCTTGTTTTCCTCCTCCAAAAACGAGGTGCGTCTTATAGAGCGAAAAATACAGTATATTTTTATCAGATTCAGTACTTGCTGGCTGGGGCTGATGGGAATTGCAGTCCAAACCAAAGCAGCAGTGAGAAGGTTGGAGAGCACCACAAACTTACCCAGGCCAAGGGAGTTTTCTGTACTTCCCCACCTACTTGGCGTGGTATGTGGTACAGAAGTCATCACAAGGTTATTGGCAGTTGTCTTCTCTCCCTCTTGGGTGGCACTAAGCAATGGAGCTCGCTCTCAAAAACAGCTGTGTGTCCCTCCTTTCAGATTGCCCTGGCCAGTTTCTATGAAGATGGAGGTGACGAAGACATCATCACACTCCCACAGCCAGCTCCCAGCTCTGTTACCCGAGGCACTGCGCCCAGGTGAGGTCAAACGGGCTCATCTTTGAGCATGTCTATATTGCGAGCTGGTGTGCAACTGCCAGAACTTCCTTCCCGCACAGGAACCCTGGGAAGTGTAACTTGCTGGGGAGGCCATGAGAACACCCTGCTAGGGATCTCTAGCGTTCATGGAACTGCAGTTCCCACCTGCACTGTACTCTGGGTCTGTTGGGCAATGGGGGTAAGGCCATAATGTGTAATCTAGGCATGCCTCTCAAGTCCTTTTTATTCTTGGGAGGTTTCAGCACGGCAAAATCGGGTTGTAAAAACAGTTCCCTTTTGTGTTGGAGCCAAGGAAGAAGAAGCAGCGCTCTCTCCTTGTGTGCATGCGTTTTGTGGAATCTTTTCTACTTTCCCACTATGGCTGCAGCCTTCCCCAACTTGGTGCCCACCAGATACTGAGGCTGCTATGTTTGATGTGCTGCAGCTTAGTGGAGCACATATTCTGACATGCAGAAGGACCCAGATTTAGTCCTAAGCATCCCCAGTTAACAGGATCTAATCTGCTGAGTCTGGGAAAAGCCTGTGCTCAGTGGGCCAACACTTTTCTCTTGGGGATGACTAATCATGACCTGCTTAGGAGGGATTACATTGTGGGGATTAAAAAAATATATGTTACTGCCACATGATTTGGTTGGTTGCTATTACAATTTGCATCCTCATCGTGTCAAATATTGTGTGTTAAACTGGGCGGAGGGAGGAATGGGATCGTGGAAACCGATTTTCCAGTGCCTCTCACAAAAAGATCTGGCGTGGACTCAGGTGCAGAAAGCAGACCAAACAGCAACATTTTGGGCTATCGGCCTGACCTGCTTTCACATTTCTGCTTAGTCATGCAGTCACTGAGAGAGAGAGAGAGTTTGAGCATGCTCAGTTGTCCCCCTCTCTAGCCTAGGTGTACTGTAGTGAATTTCACTTTATTGAGGAAAGAAAGAACGAGGTAAGGGATTGCATTAGTATCCACCATGAGCCTTTGGAGCATAGCAGGCCATCTGCTAGAGTTGGGTGATACCTGGTTTTCAACTTCTTGATATATCGCCAGCTAAACATCACGATATGCTGATATATCACAAAGTCTGAAATAAGGATAGAGCCATGTAGAGGTATTGGCTAGCTTCACAGTTTTTCCCTTGTTGTGATTTTTGCATAACACACACACACACACACACACACACACACACACACACACACATCGTGATTTGCAATATATTACCAGTTCAGAAATTGTGAAACCATTATCATGATACGGACTTGAAACCAGTTTTGAGCGATACATCGCCCAGCACTAACACACGTCATGATTTGCGATATATTGCCAGATTAAAAAACTATGAAACCGTTATCACAATATGGTCTTCAAACTGGTTCCGGACACTATATTGATATATCACCCAGCCCTACCTACAGTTTTCGGATTGTCTTTGGACGTTTTGACTTTCAGGAGTGCTTAGAATGCCTTGAAAGTGCAGTACGAATTGGGGTGGTGTGGTTCAGGCACCCCAACTACAAACTCAGGAAAATGATGCTTGCTAGAAGATGATGGTCCCTTGCATGCTGAGCAAAATTGTGGCTCCTCCTCTTTCCACCTAAAACCAGTTCCCAGCCCTCTGCCACACTATACTGTGACCAAGGAGCACAGCCTGAGGAGGCCAGGGCGCCACATGGCCCTATGCATGGAAATGTGGAGCCCTAGGGTGCCACCAGGGACGCGGGTGGCGCTGTGGGTTAAACCACAGAGCCTAGGGCTTGCCAATCAGAAGGTCGGCGGTTCGAATCCCCGCAACGGGGTGAGCTCCCGTTGCTCGGTCCCTGCTCCTGCCAACCTAGCAGTTCGAAAGCACATCAAAATGCAAGTAGATAAATAGGTACCGCTCCGGTGGGAAGGTAAACGGCGTTTCCGTGCGCTGCTCTGGTTCGCCAGAAGCGGCTTAGTCATGCTGGCCACATGACCCGGAAGCTGTACGCCGGCTCCCTCGGCCAATAAAGCGAGATGAGCACCGCAACCCCAGAGTCGGTCACGACTGGACCTAATGGTCAGGGGTCCCTTTACCCTTTACCTTTAGGGTGCCACCAGCCTCCATGAAGCTGCCAGTTGTGTCCTGCTACTTGGAGCCACCCTCTTGGAGCCACCCTCTGGAGTGCCATGCAAGGTGGGTCCATTTTGCCTGAGTGCAAGGAGAGAGGAGGCAGCCTGCTCTCGCCACAAGAGAAAGAAGTGAAGGCACTTGCCTGGCAGGCAGGATTCCCTGCTGGCGTCTCTGACTCTCATGGCAGTTGTGCTGTGGAGGGGGAGAGTGGGCGGCTTGGCTGGGCGCTTAGAATCATAGAACCTTAGAGTTGGAAGGGACCCAAGGGTCATCTAGTCCAATCCCATGCACTTGGAAGTGTGCAATGCCGGCTGCGGCCTGGGGGCGAGTGCGATACGTTGCCTGCCCCCAAATTCTGAAATCGCTCCTGCGATTTGAACTTTAAACCACTTTCGTGCAACGTACCCCCTTTACTCCCCCCAGAAATGCAAAGTGCCCCTAAGGGTACTTGGGGTTGTTAGGGTTCTTATTCACCCGTGCTGCTCAGCAAGTAGCACTAGGTTGTTTATATCATGTGAGTGTCTGAGAGTGTGAGACAGGAAGTCTCAGTACTGTTTTAGTTTCTCTTCTGTGTGTGATGCTGTTCTGTACTGCTGCTGAGAGAGCACAGACATGCTGGTGGGTTCTTTGTATATAGACTGTAAATACAGTGGTACCTCGGGTTACATACGCTTCAGGTTACACATGCTTCAGATTACAGACTCTGCTAACCCAGAAATAATATCTCGGGTTAAGAACTTTGCTTCAGGATGAGAACAGAAATCGTGCGGCGGCAGCACGACAGCAGTGGGAGGCTTCAGGTTAAGAACAGTTTCAGGTTAAGAACGGACCTCCGGAACGAATTAAATACGTAACCAGAGGTACCATTGTAAAGTAGTTTAGAGCTACTGATTGTCTCTTTTTTTCTGCTATGAGATGCTTATTTCTGGTCTCTCTGGACTGAGGAAGATTTACAGCCAGAGAGTGACCGCCGGAGAGACACCCCGGTGTCTTGGGAAGGTGGTGGCCTTCCTGGGCATTTTTCCAACAGGGATAAGAGCAAAACCTGCCCTGCTGTCAGATTGGTGGGATGGGCTGTCCTTTATGGGTAGGAATCCATCAGGTGTGTCAGAGCTCACAAAAATGTGCTGTACTCCTTTGGTGCAGGGCATGAGTCCTTGCAAGATGGAAGATCATCCCTTATTCCACACTGTCCTTAACTATGTTTGGCATTTTAGTAATCAGTTGTCATAAACATGGAGATGCGAAGGCCTGGGAGGAAACACCCGGAAAAAATGGGGGAGGGATCCCAGTTTTTCCAGATTTTTGTACTAAGTAGACCGGGGTCAGCAACCTTTTTCAGCCGTGGGCCGGTCCACCGTCCCTCAGACCATGTGGTGGGCCGGACTATATTTTTGGAGGGGAAATGAATGAATTCCTATGTCCCACAAATAACCCAGAAATGCATTTTACATAAAAGCATATATTCTACTCATGTAAAAAACACCAGGCAGGCTCCACAAATAACCAAGAGATGTATTTTAAATAAAAACACATTCTACTCATGTAAAAACACGCTGATTCCTGGATTGTCCGCGGGCCGGATTGAGAAGGCGATTGGGCCGGATTCGGCCCACGGGCCTCAGGTTGCCTAGCCCTGAACTAGACCATCACATCTCTAGCAAGCTGCTCTGTAGTAAAAAAAACGTATCTTTTGGGCACCTGGTTCGCCTTCCACTCCTTGTCGTTCGGTGCTCCCAGTTAATGCTCAGTGCTGTTGGTGCAGAGGGACCTGGCGCGGACTCATATTGTGTCTCCTTTTGTCTCGCCAGTGACCACAGGGTGACGTCATTCCGAGACCTTGTCCATGCTCAGGAGGAGGAGGAAGAGGAGGAGGAAGGACAAAGGTTTGTTGCCGTTTGAATGCCTGACTTCCCCCCTGATTTATCGGGAAGGGTCGGAGTTGGGGTGGAAAAAGTCCCTCTGGAAACGTTTTTTTGCAGGCCCAGGCTTCTATGGAAATGTCTGCGTTGGGTGGGTGGGGGCCCTCTCTGTTGAGGCAGCTGTGGGAGTCCTGCTCTTGGAGGCCATGACCTCCCCTGCCATTGTTCGAAGCACTTTCATTCCAGAATCTTGCATAGTAAGTGGTTGTGGCTCTTTCTTCCTAGGGGGAGGAGCAGGCGAGTGTTACCCTGACATGAACAGGGCTGTGTTTGCTCTGTGCCAATAGATAAATAGAAACTCTCCACCAAGTAAGGCCTAAGTCTGTGGCTTGTATGAATTGCACACCTTTCTTCCTTCCTTCCTTCCTTCCTTTCTTTCTGAATGCTTGTTATTCTACTATTTGTGCAATTTATCCTGGTATTGCTAGTTATAAGGAAGAGCGGAGACAGATTTGCGGGGCATTGCAGCCTCCGGGGTTCTTGATCAGCTCCCCTTCTTTGACTTCTCACTGCGCATTGACCACACAATTTCAAGTATATCTTATTTATTTATGTCATGAAATTCTTACGCTGCTTGATTGTAAAAAACAACACCATTAAAGTCGTTTACAAAAAACTATAAGGCAAAATTATCAGTAAGGAAAAATAACAATAATAAGGCTTTCGGAAAATTAAAACAACAGTAGTCTTAAATGCAGATTAAAACTTGCATCAGCTATCTTGGTAACGTGAGGTCTAGGAGCTTGACCTTGAAAAGAAAGGAGAGCTCACATTCCCAGGAAGTTAAATTGAGTGATAAGTTATGTGACTTTTCTGCAGTCACAGCACATTCTCAGCCATGGACATATCTGAGAATCCCTGTGATGTGTATGATAGGAAATGTACAGCTCCCACAGTAAAGCAATGAAAGGGAGGCACAGTCCAGAGCATTGCAAGAGCCCTCACAGATCAGACACACTGAGTTATTTAAACTACTGTGCTACACATCATAGGCAGAGTCAATAAGGGAAATGTGGGCATTGGTGCACATAAAGCCAATTCATAATTTTCAGGATTGTCTTGTAGCAGAATGAATGAATGAATGAAGAAAGCATTTACAGAAAGTTTAGGGCAGGGTTTCCCAGGGTGTCCAGCTGTTTTTGGGCTACAGTTCCCATCATCCTTGACCTCTGGTCCTGCTAGCTAGGGATGATGGGAGTTGTAGTCCAAAAACAGCTGGAGACCCAAGTCTGGGAGTGTTCAAAGCTCTTGACATACCTAGTCCTATAAGGTTGGGTGGTGTGTGAAGCTGAGAGAGTTCCCTTGCGCAAGTGGAAATCCTTGCAATGACAGAATGTGCAAACTGGAAACCACCCAAAGCTCCTAAATTGTCTCATGCCCAGGGAACTCCTCTCTCCTTTTGCCAAAGCTGCCTTTCTGTGTGTGGCTGAAGATTTATATAATCAAGAGGAGGCTCCTGGTAAATCTGAAGGGTCACATGGGCAGATTGGTAAAACGGTGTTGGCCAACCTATTGGGCAGGTGTGCCTGAAGTCCAATCCACAAGTGCTGTGCTAGCTGGCATTACATTCTACCTGCAGCCTGTTCTCTCTCCACTTTTGGAGGCCAATTGCTAAGAATCGCAGGTGGGGAGAGTTGCTTTTGCACTGAGGTGCTGCTTCTGGCCAGCTCCCTGTTGGGACATCTGGTTGGCCACCGTAGGAACAGGATGTGGCACTTAGCTGCAGGGTTCTTCGCCTTGCCTCTGTTGTCTAGTCAGCCAGGCCAGCAGAAGAGTGAAGAAAGGCCGGCTGGAGCAGAGACCTGACTCAGGGATGGGGCACCTGCAGCCTTCCAAAGGTTGTTAGACTCTCAACTCCCAGCAGAATGGCCAGCGGTCAGGGTTGAGAGGAGTTGCAGTCCAGCATCCGATGGGTCGCAAATTCTCCCTCCTCGGCCTCACATCTGTGCTATCCAGTCAGCTCCTCCTGCTAGTGTTCAGCTGATCCGCAAACATTACTGTCCGTGCCACTCTGGCCCCAGTGCTGCAAGCCAGCCAGCGAGAGAGTAAGAATTGAAAATGTGAAAATGTGTGGGGTTTTTTTTTACTTCCTTCTTACAACCTGTTTCTTAGGCTGACATTGGGGTGAGTGTGTGTGTGTGTGTGTGTGTGTGCGCTTAACCCAGTTTGAGAACAGGACTTGCTTTGGCTACAGGAGAGAGTTGAAATTATTATTATTACTGTTGTTGTTGTTATTACATCCGAAGATCACAGAGTGGTTTACAATATAAAAACACAAAAATACATACTATAATAGCAAACAAAAGCAATAATAGAGTGGTACCTCTGGTTGCGAACGGGATCTGTTCTGGAGGCCTGTTCACAACCTGAAAAGAACGCAACGCGGGTCACGATTTGCCGCCTCTGCGCATGCGTGTGACATCATTTTGTGCGTCTGCACATGCGCGAGTGGCGAAACCCGGAAGTTACCCATTCTGGTGCTTCCGGGTCGCCGCAGGACGCAACCTGAAAATGCTCAACCTGAAGCAAACGTAACATGAGGTATGACTGTACTCCCCTACACACACACACACACACACACACACACACAATTTAAAGGGTCAAAGATTGTTTTAATTAGCCAAAGACCTGGGATAAGAGGCATGTTTTTGCCTGGCATCGAAAGATATGTAACAAAATTAGCAAATATGTTTGAGCACAGATGTGCACACATGCCCCAGCCTTCAATGGGTCTTCAATGGAGAGGTGTAATCTTGGGGGCCTGTTGTCTCTTCAGATTTTACGCTGGGGGCTCTGAGCGAAGCGGGCAGCAGATTGTTGGTCCTCCGAGGAAGAAGAGCCCCAATGAGCTGGTTGAGGACTTGTTCCGAGGGGCCAAAGAGCATGGAGCTGTGGCTGTCGACAGAGCAGCCAAGAGCCCTGGGGAAGGCAGCAGGCCAAAAGTGAGCACACCCAAGGGGGATTCTGTTGAGACGAAATGTTCAGAAGGGGTTGTGTAAAGCAAGGCTGTGGTTGGCGCAGAAGTGAGACGGGGGAGGGACTTGAATGAGGCCAAATCCTTTCAGAAAGCAGCATGGATGAAGGCATGGGAATGCGAGGAGGCGAGGAGCACTAAGGACCGATAGTCAGGGAGATGGAGCATAAAGCAGGGAGGAGTGTTGGAGGAGAAGTGGAAAAAATGAAAAAGTGAGGGCTGGAAGCTTCAAGTAGATGGAGAGAGCAAGAAGGGGCCAGTGTGGACTCTCAGGGAAGGGAGATAAAGCAATCTCCAGGGCTTGAGAATGATGGACTTAGCTGAGACATTCTCATCGCACTGAAAGTAGCTGTCAGTATCATCTTCCCTCTTAAAGGCAGCTGCAGCCAGTCTCCTGTAGCCCCTTCCCTGTGGATGTTGTTCATGCAGAACTGCCTCCCTCCCCCCCAAAAACTCACCCTAAAAGGAGGGCTGGCAAAATCCCACTCGGCACTGACATGCCTAAATGCTTGATTCAGACGCTTGCTGATCTGAACGCTTCTCCTTTCCCTGCGCAAAACCGTTGTTTAGTGGGGAAATGACAATGGCGCATTGGGTTTAATTAAAGGACGGTGGATTAAGTTAGATACTGACATGGGTTGTGTGTGTGTCAGCCCTCCAACTATTTGGCCTGCCCGACCTTGGAATTTTTTAGCGGAGGGGAAGCGAGAAGTATTTGCCAGGGCCGCCGAATGGAGGTTGAGGTCGGAGGTGGCCCATCTGCTTTTTCCAGGCCTCACAGTTCCTTTCTCTCTCGCAGCCCTTCGCAGGTGGAGGGTACCGCCTGGGAGCTGCTCCCGAGGAGGAGTCTGCTTATGTTGCCCCAGAGATGAGGCAGAACGCTGCACAGGATGTGAGTATTGCTAGGAGTAGGACTAGAGGCAGTGAGATCTGGCCAGGTCCCCATTTCTCCTGTCCAGGGTTCAGTTCCTGGCTTGCTTTCTCTGGCACCTCCAGGATAGAGATCTCTAGGATCAGAGATCTAGGAAAGGCCTCACTCTGCCCCCGAGTCCATAGAGAGCAGCTGCTGCTGCTCAGCATAGATCAGGCATGTCCAACGTCCGTTTTGGGGGCCTAATCCGGCCCACTGGTCGGTTAAACTGGCCCCTGTGGCAGTTCATTTCCTGGGGTAAAACCCTAAAAAAAACCCTCAAAAACTTCAACCCTAAAAAAAGCTCAACTTTGGGGTAAAATCATAAAAAAGCTCAACAACTTCAAACTTCAATCCTAAAAAAAGGTCAGTAACTTTGGTCGGCCCTCACAGCCCTTCACTTCATCAAATCTGGCGCTCTTTGAAAAAAGTTTGGACACCTCTGGCATATATGAAACGGAACCAGCTTTTTTCTTTTTTTGCCAACCAGGCTCCTTCCGGGTGCATCAAACTATAGCTCCCACCAGCCCCAGCCAGCTTGGGGCTAATGGGAGTTGTAGTCCAAAACATCCGGCAGGAACCAGATTGGCAGAGCTGAAACAGACCAATGATCTGTCTAGATATAAGGCAGCGTCATATGTCCAGCCACACATTGCATGCAAGGATACATGTTAGTGACTTAAGTTTTAATTTATATATTTTTTAACTGTTCCTATATCTGTATTGTCCCTGTTATACCTAATTGCAAAATCAAATGTATCGCTATCGTGTTTCATGACTTCCTTGATATTGTGTGTGGGCTGGAACTGGTCTGTGACCGAAATAATAAATTCATCATCGTATAAAACCCCTGGCACCGGCTGCTTCAGAGGAGAGAGGGTGGATCGGAGCTGCGAGGTTGTGAGAGGTGGGTGTCTGAGACCCTTTCTCTTCACGCTGCTCCGAATAGCTCCATCAAGCTGCTTTCTATCCTGCAGGGCTCCATGTGTGTTGAGCCCAAGACAGGCAGAGTGAGTTGAAGCCATTTGCTTGTGGCCGAGAAAGGGTTCCACATCCATCTCCCTTGCTAGCTCTCTCCTCCAGCAACATTGCAAAGGCACCAGGTTAGAGAAGGCTGGCTTCCAGGGCAAGAAGGATGAGGAGGGTTGCATTTTCTGCAGCCTGGCATGGCAACCTCACTCCCTGGTTTGAACGGGCGCAGATGTGCAGCAGTGTGGCTTCCTGGGAGAGGCACCCTGCAGATGGTGGTAAGACTTTTGATTTTACAGGTGCACGTGGTCCTGAAGCTGTGGAAGAGTGGGTTCAGCCTGGACAGCGGAGAGCTGAGGAGCTACCAAGACCCATCCAACTCCCAGTTCCTGGAATCCATCCGCAGAGGGTAATGGCAGTGCTCTGGGATGTGGGCCAGTGTTTGGTAACTGGCTGCACCAGACATCTAATTCCCTGGGATGCTGCACTCTGCAGAACGCTCCCTCGCTCCATCTTACCACAGAGAAAGGTAAGGCTGGCTGGTCCTTTTTCTTGAGTTGCCTCCCTCTGTTTTCCCTTGTCAGGGAGGTTCCTGGGGAACTTCGCCGGTTGGCTCGTGGCGGGCAGGTGAATTTGGACTTGGAGGACCACCGCGACGAGGATTTCACAAAACCCAGAGGTGCCTTCAGGGCTTTCACCGGCGAAGGACAGAAACTGGGCAGGTGAGCATTTGAGCATTTCCTTCTTGCCTCTTTTCTCTTTTGCAAAAGGGCCCGGCCGCCTCTAGTCTTCATTGAGAGAAGCACCCAAGTAAAGATTCAAAAGGAAATTAAAGCACAGTAAGGCATTAAAAACTTCAGGTAATGATGATAATCATGATTATTATGGATAATAAGTGCTGTGGTACCTTTGTTGTCGAACGTAATCCGTTCCAGGAGACCGTTCGACTTCCAAAACGTTCAACAACCAAAGGGCTGTCAGCAGTTTCTAGGGTGAAAATTGAAAAACACGCCATTCGGCTTCTGAGGTGTGTTCAAAAACGGAAGCAATTACTTCCGGGTTTTCGGCATTCAGGTTCTGAAACGTTCTGCTTCCAAGACGCTCGAAAACCAAGGTTCCACTGTATTAATATTATTAATACACCGCCCATCTGGCTGGGTTTCCCCAGCCACTCTGTGCGGCATCCAGCAGAATAGTAAAAATACAATAATTCATCAAACATTAAAAACTTCCCTAAATAGGGCTGCCTTCAGGTGACTTCTAAAAGTCAGATAGTTGTTTATCTCCTTGACATCTGCCCTCTGCCTGGTTCCCTGTAGCTTCATTTCTCACAGTGAGGCAACTGCCAGAAGGCCCTCAGAGCTGGACCTCAGTGTCCGGGCAGAACGATGGGGGTGGAGATGCTCCTTCAGGTATACTGGGCTGAGACCATTTAGGTCTTTAAAAGGTCAGCACCAACACTTTGAATTGTGCTCGGAAACCTACTGGGATCCAGTGTAGGTCTTTTAGAACCAGTGTTGTATGGCCCCGGCAGCTGCTCCCAGTCACCCGCCGTGTACATCATTCCTCCTTCCTTCTCCTGCAGCAATACTGCTGCCCTTGCTTTAATAGTAAAATCTCAAATTCTATAAATATTCACATAAGACCAAACTGCCTAGTTTCTCTCTGCTTGTTCAGTCTACTTGTAATATGATCTGGAATGTTGAATTTAGTAGTGAACGGCCTAAGCGCTGCATTGCAAGCTGGGCATCAGCTGCGAAGGCCCGTGCCAGAAATACACCAGGTTAGGGAGTGAGATGATCCCATTTCAGATTCCTGTTGCTCCGTCTTCTTGGCAGAAATTGCTTCCTCATCCCCCTTTGCTGGATAGTCTGCTGCATGCCGCTGTTAACCAGGCCAGCAACTTCTGATCCTGAAAATTGCATGGGTGAATGTTGCAGTTAGCAAATTTATACGCGGAACCAGGTGCCTAATGCGCATTTCTTTTACTTTGGAATTTTGCCCACCTGTCCTCAAGGCAGCGTTTGAAATACTTCGCTGATTAAGGTTGCCGTGCAGTCCAGATTTAACATGGAGTAATGCCCCGCCGAAACAAGTTGGCTGACTTCCAAGTAAATGCATTTTGGCACTTCTCCCACAGCAAACTGCAATTGTTTCCAGCTTTCAGTGGCTAACTGCACTTTTCAGTGGTTAGAATGTTTGCGGACGTTGTTAACATAGTTGTAGCTTAGCTTCCTGGGGTGGGAGGTGTTGCGGCTGCGACTTGCCCTTGGAGTGCCGGATTTATTTTCCAGAGTAGAATTAGGCGGAGAGTTTGCAAGCCATCCAGAGAGGCCAGTTATTTGAACCTTCATCTTCTGTGTGCAAACCCCAACAATTCTGCCTGCAAACAGCCCAGTTGTCTTCTTGGCTTGTTCTTCCCCCATGGCCCTTCTTGTTCTTTGGTTTGGTTTTTAATTAATTTCTATTTCGCCCTTCATCCGATGATCACATTTTCTTAAACTGTGGATAAAATAGTATGGCTAGGGATGCTGATGTTGAAGGACACAATTCCCCCGCCCCCCTTTTAAATGGTTTTTATTAAAAGATTTTCTTGGGTAGCAAAAGTACATACATGTCTCTATTTTCAGATCATTTTCCCAAGTCCTTTATACAGATCAGTTATATTCGATGTGAGACATTAATGTTGTATATGCTATAAGGTTGGGGGGGAAGAGGTGGGGAGATGGGGCAGAAAGGAGTAGTAAAGTTTCATTCTTTCCATAGTGTATGTGCAAGTTGTTTGTGTCAGCGTCATGTGGGTAGGTTTGATTGACACAGTTTCTTTTTAAATTCATCCTGTATCCTCTGTTTCATTACAATGATTCTTGCACAAGGAAAGGAAATCCAGGGCCAGATTTTGGTCCAGTCTCTCTTAGAGTACAGTGCTACCTCTGGTTGCGAACGGGATCCGTTCCGGAGACCCGTTCGCAACATGAAACGAACGCAACCCACAGTGGCACGTCTGCGCACACGCGGTTGCGATTTGCCGCTTCTGTGCATGCACGTGACGTCATTGTGCGCTTCTGCGCATGTGTGAGTGGCAAAACCTGGAAATAACCCTTTCTTTAGTTTCACCTGGTTCATAAATGGTTTTGACCAGTCTCGTTTTGCTTGGGTCTCCGAACCCAAATTTCAAAGGTTGATAAGTCTTCTGAAGCTGCTCCTTTATGTCCATTGAGTAACTGTGTACAGTCGCCAGGTTTATTGTCGGAGGGGGGCCTGCATCTGTCTTGCCCAAACCTGCCACCTGCTCCATAGTGCAAACCTTTCCTCCCTCCTCCTTCCTCAGCACTGCCCCCCAGGTGATGGGCGCAGGCTCCCCATCGCAGCAAGCGGAAAACGAAGCCAAAGCCAGCTCCTCCATCACTATTGACGAGTCAGAGCCCACTACCAGCATCCAGATCCGGCTGGCGGATGGAGGGCGGCTGGTCCAGAAATTCAACCACAGTCACAGGTACCGGGGCAGAGCTTGCTGCCAAAGGGCGTTACAAATATGGGAACCTGGCTGGCGTTGGTGGGTGGGTGGGAAGCCGGAAGAGGTCCAGCGCTGTGATGGCTTGTGAATGCTCTTTGCAAGAAATGCCTCTGCTCACTCAGAGATACATATATACAGTCTTTATTTTACATATGTACAGGCAGCACATTACAATCATGCATCTGAATCCTCCGGCTCAGATTCTGGGAGTGGCTTTTTCACGTGATGCCTCTCCTCCCCCCCTTTAACCCTCTCCTTTCCCTGGCAGACAGAACAGGCATTGCCTCACTGTCTGTGCCAGAACTTCCTGAGCGGTGCTCAGGCTCTGGTTCAACATCTGAGAGCCGTCCCGCCTCCTGGCTTTCTCCTCTTTCCTCCTCAATCGTCACTTCCTGCCCCCCTCCCTCTGCCTCTTCCTGCTCCTCCCCTGCATTCTCTGGCAATACCACGACAAACGCATCTCGTTTTTCTTGCAGGATCCGCGATGTCCGACTCTTCATAGCGGACGCCAGGCCTGCCATGGCCGCCACGAGCTTTGTCCTCATGACCACTTTCCCCAACAAAGAGCTGACAGATGAGGACCAGACCCTGAAGGAAGCCAACCTACTGAATGCCGTCATCGTCCAGAGGTTAATATAAGGGAACCTGCCCGATGGCTACCTGCCCAGGCCCTATAGCCTCCTACGGGGCAGCTCTCCGGGCGGGAAGGGCAGTCTCACGGCCACCTCGTAGTGCTGGGTTCGAAGCTCTTGCGTTGGACTCTTTAGTTGCGTTTCCCAATGTTTTGTTTTCTTTGTGCTGATCCATGGACTTTAAAAATAATAAGAATAATAATTAAAACCAAACACAAACTTTTTCAAAGGAGCAGCAGCTCCCTGTTGTGCCTGCCACACACTCCCCCCTGGACCACTTATGGGGCAGAAAGGAGAGGTAAGGTTCAAAGAGGGGGGGTGCATGGCTTCCTCCCTTCATTCCAGCTCCAGGGGTGGTAGCAGCTACAGGATCCGTCGGTGTATTAAATAAAGTGGACCCCCAAACCGGGGGGCTCTCTTCTGTGTTGCCAACCAAGTCTGTAGGGTATTTCTGTCTTGCAGATGGGTAAAAGCTGTGGGCATTAGGAGGAATCCAGACCTTCCCTCCTCAAATAATCTAGCGTCCCATCTGTAGCACAATCTTGCCATCTACTCTCCTGTCCCTCCAGGCTCTCTCATAGCACCGCAAAGAGCAGAGAGTCCCTCCAAAGTGTCTTTCCGCCCATATCCTGAAAACGAGCCACTCTTAAGTGAGGGGTCTCCGAGTGCAAAGCCTGGGATGGGTGGCCCTTGGGTTTCCCCCCCTCTTTCCGGCGTGCTAAATAAAAGGAAGGGCTCGTAAAAAAGAGGAGGCCCACATTTTGATCAGGATTTGAAGCCTCTTAGGTAGGGGAACGGTTTGGCTTGGAGTGTGTGACTTCATACTTCCTGAAGATCAGCACGGCTGCAATCTGTCACTCATCTCAGTTTTGGATCCAGGGGTGTCCTCCCCACCTTCTTCCGTTTTTTTAAGAGAATAATTCGTCAGCTGCCTCCCACTGTTCCTCATTCTGTCTCATCTGCCTTTGTTCTTTCTCAGGTCTTTCTTAGGAAGGTCTCTCCCTTGATAACGCAGCAGTCTTTGCCTTTCTGGGTCCCTCCAGCTGATCCAAAACATCTGGTTGGCCCCAGGTAGGCAAAGGCTGTGACGCCGAGTGCCCCAGGGAACACACAATTTCTCCTCAATGGAAAGGGGCGCGTGCGGGAAAGTTTGGCGCAGGACGAAGATCTCCATGCCTGCGAGCCTGCTCTCAGCTCTGCTCCTCAGTTGCGGGGTGCGCTTGAGCTCACATCCGCTGCATGGTCCCTCCTCTGTCAGGTGACGGAGAGCAGCCTCTCCACAGGAGCAGGGCTTGAGGAAAAGGAAGGCTTGGATCCAGGCCGGTCTGTCCTGCCAGCCACTTGGGTATCGGTTATCCTGCACCAGAAAGTTCAGACATGGGCATTCCCCACCAGCCACCCCTCATGGCTAAATGAATCCACACCGGATGTTGACAGTGAATTCTGTAAATTATTGTGACAAGTGTGTGAGCATTAAAAATCCAAACTGAACCCGGGACGACGTTTGCTCCTTTCTGTCGCGGTGTGGAATAGCCTCCGGTTTTGCAGGCAGCGTCTGTGAGGATGGGGGTTAGCGCAGGCAGCAGGGAGCTCAGCTTGATTAGCAATGTGTAGCCCAGGGGTCGGCAAAGCGTGCCTGGGTCAGTTCACTGCCGCGGAGCTCCCTCCATGGGCCTGATGCATGAGTGCGCACGCCTGTGATTTCCGACATCTGTGTCTGTGCAGACGCGATTTCCGGCACTGCGGAAACAAGTCTCCCTGCCGCACTGCGCCGGTTTAGCGCAGCATGGGCAGCTCAGTTTGGGGGCACCTCGTGGGCCAGTAAAATGACCCCCATGGGCCGTTTGTGGCCCATGGGCCTTAGGTTGCCGACCCCTGGTCTAGCCCCTGCCCGCCACAATTGGAGCTGTGCTACTCTGCTGCGGTTGTGGGATCGCAGTCCCTCTAGGTGGAATGGGTTGCAGTCCTTGCAAGGGAGTCGTTATAAGAGGCAGGAACATTCAAAAACCCCATTTCTGCTTCCAGAGTGGTAGGACACCGCTCTGCCGCTGCTTCTGCAGTGGTGGTCCAGGCCTGAGTTATAGCAGGCGCAATAATCTTACAGGACGGGACTCCTGCACAGGCAAATGTCCCCATTCACTTCATGGGGGGGGGAGCTGCTTCCAGTGGAGGAAGGAACAGGGAAGGGCTCCTGCAACTGCCCTGGGTACAGGGCGGGGCAGTTTGGCAGTGGACGTTTCGTACGTATGGGGGCTGACTTCCGGAGCTGACTTCAGAAGAGAGTCGTCTGTTGGCTGGTTCTCTAGCTCAGCGAAGTGCTTGGCAGCCCTTGGTTGTCGCACTGGTTATTTTTATATTTGTTAAATTTATATACCGTCCTTCACCTGAAGATCTCGGGGTGGTTCACAAGATGAAAGTGCAGGATAAAAGCACAAAATAAATAGCTCAAAACAAAACAAGACCCCAGCCCACTTGCAGACACATTTAAAAGGCTGTGGACTATTAATCAGCCCAAGGCCTGGTTGAAAAGTTTTTGCCTGGTGCGTAAAGCTGTATAATGAAGGCACCAGGCAAGTGTATCTGGGGAGAGCATCCCACAAATGGAGCCACTGCAGAAAAGGCCCTGTTCTTGTGTCACTACTCTCCGGACCTCATAGAGAACGGCCTCAGATGATGAGGACTGGTGCAATGCGCTTGTGGAATTTGAATAAAGAAGTTCTTGGTTCACCGTTGCCCTAACTCAGTAGTGTTACTTAACTCTCTTTCTCAACCGAGATGTCAAAATGTCAGGAGGAGGAGGAGGAGGGGAAATGTTGAAATCAAGTTAACAGGTGCCCCACATACACTTCCCACTATAATAATCTACAGCATGGTTCACCTGTGCCTGTTTTGAGGCAGGCGGCCGTGGCCAGGTGTATTTTGCTTGGCTGTTTGCATTCCGTACTTCCTCCAAGGAGCTCAGGGTGGTACAGATGGGCTCTCCTCACCCCCTTTTGTGGGGATAAGATGAGGAGAAGGAAAATCATGTACGCCACCTTGAGCTCCTCAGGGGTGGGGTAAAGGTAAAGTGACCCCTGACCATTAGGTCCAGTTGTGGCCGACTCTGGTTGTGGCACTCATCTCGCTTTCTTGGCCGAGGGAGCCGGCGTACAGCTTCTGGGTCATGTGGCCAGCATGACTAAGCCGCTTCTGGCAAGCCAGAGCAGCGCACGGAAACGCCGTTTCCCTTCCCACCAGAGCGGTACCTATTTATCTACTTGCTCTTTGACGTGCTTTCGAACTGCTAGGTTGGCAGGAGCAGGGACCGAGCAACGGGAGCTCACCCCGTCGCAGGGATTCGAACCGCCGACCTTCTGATCGGCAAGTCCTAGGCTCTGTGGTTTAACCCATAGCGCCACCCGGGTGGGGTAGGCAGGATATATAACTGCACCAAATCAATATATTACATTGAATAAAAGGCAGATAAAGGTAACGGTTTAAAAACAAGTCTGAATTATGTGCCTGGAGAGTTTTCAGCAGGTCCTTGCCTAATGGCGATAGGCAGGGAGTTGCAAAGTGTGGGTGCTGCCACCCCAAGAGGGATCAGTTTCTCACCAATGTGGCAGATGGAACAGCTTGCATGGGCCCTAGCAGGTAATGAGGGATTGCAGTTCCCGGTTTCTGCCCAAGGGTGGTGCTGACGCGCTTAGGCAGGACTTGAGCAAAAGTGGAATTGCAAGAAGGGTTTGCGTAGGTTTTTTTGAAGATGCTGCTCTTTGCTTCCCTTGCAAACAAATCTCGATGCCGCCTCTGTGTTTCAAGGGGGCTGTTCTTTCCACACTCGGGGCTCCTTCCCCCCCCCCCAGCAATGTGTGATTATGGAGAATATTCCCAAGACGGGTGGAAACCCTGGTGGGTGGGAGGTCCACAAATCTCCACCAGTTGCTGGAAGTGGAAGAGTGTTCCGGTGCTTGTGTCCTGCACGCCACTATAAGAAGAACATTTAAGAAGCAGGAAGGAGAGGAGGAAGGGAGTGAAACCAAGACCGTTTCGCGACAGCCTGGTCTTAAATGCATTTATTCCAGAAATGGGCTGATGCTCTCCCACTCGACAGAAGCTCTGAGCACACCATACTCTCCTGGAAACAGCCTTGCTTGTGCAGCTATGGAAACGGGAGCAGCAGCATTTGGATTTCCGAAAGTGCAAAACCCTCGTTTTATTTAGAGTGTGTTTTGAACTTTCACGATTCATGCCAACAAAATGGGGGGGGGGATATTTAGGTGTGGCTCTCCTGTTTCCCCCCGACACACACACACCCCGGGTTTTACGCTGTCCTTAATCTGAAATTGTTGCATCTAAAAGCAATACCAAAATGTAAGTCTCGGGCAGCACTTGAAAAATTCTGACCTCTCAAAATCAAATGTCAGGGAAATAATAAATTTGGCCTTTGGATGCTTAGTAGCTTCCAACGTGCTTCCATTTTTGTAATTATATTTAATTGATTTTAAAGTCTGGTTTAAGGGAGTGCAGTATGGAGAACGTTGGACCTGTCTGCGGTCCATTATAATAAGTGGGGCTGGTTGAGAACCTTTTTTGATCTTTGTAATGCGATGATTAGCCACCGTCTTCTGGGGAACTTGGAAAATCCCTCTTTTGCACCTTGCTATGTATTTTAAAGGGACGCGGGTGGCGCTGTGGGTAAAAGCCTCAGTTCCTAGGGCTTGCCGATCGAAAGGTCGGCGGTTCGAATCCCCGCGGCGGGGTGCGCTCCCGCTGCTCGGTCCCAGCGCCTGCCAACCTAGCAGTTCGAAAGCACCCCCGGGTGCAAGTAGATAAATAGGGACCACTTACTAGCGGGAAGGTAAATGGCGTTTCCGTGTGCAGCTCTGGCTCGCCAGAGCAGCAATGTCACGCTGGCCACGTGACCTGGAAGTGTCTCCGGACAGCGCTGGCCCCCGGCCTCTTAAGTGAGATGAGCGCACAACCCTAGAGTCTGTCAAGACTGGCCCGTATGGGCAGGGGTCCTTTACCTTTACCTTTATAGCGGGAAGGTAAATGGCGTTTCCGTGTGCTGCTCTGGTTCGCCAGAGCAGCTTCGTCACGCTGGCCACGTGACCCGGAAGTGTCTGCGGACAGCGCTGGCTCCCGGCCTCTAGAGTGAGATGAGCGCACAACCCTAGAGTCTGTCAAGACTGGCCCGTACGGGCAGGGGTACCTTTACCTAATGCGATGATAAGCCACCATCTTCTGGGGAACTTGGAAAATCCCTCTTTTGCACCTTGCTATGTATTTTAAAAACCTGGGTAGTGATAGAGGGGTCTCGGGCACTTCCAGGCTGATGTTATTTTGGGGTGATTTTCAGCCACATGCCTTCAAGCTGTGGAATTAAAAGTGTTCTTTCGCAGCAAACGAAAGGCGTTCTTGTGCCGCAAACAAGCTCATCCCCAAACCTGGACTTTTCTGCCATAAGAAAATTGACCGGAAAGTGTGGGGTGGCACTTGCTTTGACACAACGTCATGTAACCTCTCTGCAAACAGATCAGGGTGAATGCTCAGTAATTGAGTATCCTGGAAGTAACCTCAGATTTTCCTAAAAATCTGTGGTCTGGCTTACCCAAAGAAGTATGTGAGGTAGTAAACATAGAATCATACAGTTGGAAGGGACCCCAGCGGTAACCCCCAGCAATATAGGAATCTCAGCTAAACCATCCATGACAGATGGTCATCCAACCTCTACTTAGGTACCTCCAAAGGTAGCTCTACCACCACCGCCAAAGGGAGACCATTCCACTGAAATAGCTGTTACCCTCTGAAAATTCCTGTTTAGTCAGAATCTCCTTTCTTGTAACGAAGACATTGTTTTGAGTCCTACCCTACGGAGCTGGAGAAAACAAGCTTGCTCCATGTGACAGCCTGTGAGATATTTGAGGATGGCTCTCATAACTCCTCTCAGTCTCCTATTTTCCAGAAGAGAAGAAGAGTTTTGGATTTGATATCCTGCTTTCTCACTACTCGAAGGAGTCTCAAAGCAGCTAACATTCTCCTTTCCCTTCCTCCCCCACAACAAACACTCTGTGAGGTGACTGAGGCTGAGAGACTTCAGAGAAGTGTGACTAACCCAAGGTCACCCAGCAGCTGCATGTGGAGGAGCGGAGACGCGAACCCGGTTCCCCAGATTACAAGACTACCGCTCTTAACCACTACACCACACTGGCTCTCTTTCCAAGTTAAACATACGCAGCCCTCAACTATTCCTCATAAGTCTTGGCTTCCAGACCCTTGATCATCTTGGTCGCCCTCCTCTGCACACATTCCAGCTTGTCAACCTCCTTCCTAAATTGTGGCACCCAGAACTGGACACAGTATTCCAGGTGTGGTCTGACCAAGGCAGAATACAGTGGTACTATTACTTCCCTTCCCAGTATGTGGACCGAGAACTCCCAGAAGTGCAAGCTGGATTTAGAAGAGGCAGAGGAACCAGAGACCAAATTGCAAAGATGCGCTGGATTATGGAGAA